GTAATGTACTGCACACATTTTAAAGATGTCAACTTGGAAATGGGAATGTACACCTGGTTCTGCTAAGTATTCCTGTAATACTTATATAAATACCTAACAGGGATAATGATAAACAAGAGTAACAGTAATAAAATAAAACCTATACTTAAACCAATACTAATAAACTACAACAATAATACTGAACCAATACAGTAATATTGATTTAAAAGTACAAATTCATTCATATGTTGTGGTAGGTCAGGTAGTAATAAAACAAATACAATTACTCAGGTAACACTTACGAAACTCCTGATATGAAGTGTATGCTGAGAAAGTCTTATTCAAACAGGTATCAGTACGCACACACACACACACACACACATATCACCGTTGTCAATAACATATAATAATTTTACTGTGTCACCAGTCTCACATCTACTCGACTAGATAATTTCCTTATCAATGAATTGTCAATAACAGTGAGTTCTCTAAAGTGTTTACTTACGTCACTGCCTTCTGTCATACAGTATAATCAGTCATAATGTGACCCAATCAGGTAAAACTTTAGGAGAAGAGCCGTCAAACTTGGCAGATTTGACCTTAGTGCATTTTGGGGGCATTATTACACTCTTGTTATGACTGTGTTAACCTTAGTCTTCTTCTTAGGACGGCGGGGGTCATTGAGTTAGGTTAGGTTAATCTAGATTTCGTTAGTTTAGGATACCGTAGTTATATTTGGCTAACTTGAGTCAGCTTTGGTTAATGTTTGATCACGCTAAGACAGGTTAATAAAAACAATAATAATGTATGAAATAGATATAAAGGTTTACCTGTCCCATTCATTGATGTAATTCTGGAAAAATGTCACTGCGGTATTATTATTAAGGTCAGTACTATTATATATCTTTTCACTGATACCTCTCTTGTTTTGATTATCAATACTGTACTTAAAAATCAACTAGATTATGATAGTAAGGAGATCGATTATTCCACCTATGCAAGAAACCTAAATAAAGCAGTAGTGAAGCAAAGGTCAACACTAGATCAATGTATTCTCCAGATATCACGATCTCGACTTGGATGGTTGGATGAATGAACAGAGGGATGGACGGATAGTTGGACGAGCAAAGGAGTTGGGCGGGGAGAGAATAAGGTCTATTTCGACTCGGCTGCGAACATTTAACAGACGGTATTTATGAAGCACTGAAGCATATTTATTTCCTGTGTCCGACGTGTCCATCAACCTGGAATATATACACTACTATTACTACTAATAATACTACTAAAACTAATACTAATACTTTTACTGTGCTGTCACTCGGAATCGAGCATGACGATCATCCAGCTTTAATACAATGGTATGAGTTTTAATGATGCCACCTTCTTTGGTGAACTCTGAGGTGACTCGAGAGGCCGATACGGGACCGGCAGGGCCGTCCACAGAAGTTACACGTGTGGATGGAGGGCTACATCTCGTGCGGGAGGGGCGGCGGGCCGGCGGCAGGCGCTGGCTAGTAAAACAGAGGTCCTGGATTATAAACCTCGGCTGGGACTCCATCAGGCCCCGTGGCTTTGTTATTTTTCATCTGCTTGACAGCAGTAACTATTTCATCACGGGATGGAGGATAGTCGAGGTGGGTGCTGAGGGACCTGCTCGGTAATCAAGACAAGGTCTATAGACCTTGGGTCAGGACATCCACATCGGTGTTTCGGATGAGCAGTGAATGAAGGTGCTCTTTCCAGCGCTGACCGGTGCCTTCTTCGTCGTTAGGCAGTTACCGTCGGACGAGAGGAAGGGGGGCACGTCGTGAGTAGTTGGGCCATACACTGCTTTAGTGGAATTGAAAGATTCGCTCATCTTCAGTTGATCAGCATTTTTTTTTTTTTTGCGTTTCACGCACTTTATTTTTCCGTCATTGCTCCCGAAGTTTGCACTGAGCCATTGCTTTCTTCTGGCGGAAGGTATCATCTTTGAGCTGAGTCTGAGGGTTGTTCTTCGAGTCAGTGGAGGCAGCGCACACACACACACACACACACACTCTCGTGTCTTACATGATCCCAGTTATCAGAAACGTAGTGTGATTCATAGCTGCTGGGTATCAGGCGTTGTTGTGGTCCTGCCAGATATGTCATCGTTCCGTATTTTAGTCTGATCTCAAACATGTCGCTATCGATCCAGGGGCAGATCTTGTTAATGTTAAGACTAGGGTGTGTCAGCCCGTGTATTAAATAAACGGATCACATAAAGATCAGTCCCCAGCGTATTTCACCTTATGATTAAACGCCCTTCTAACGCTGAATGGGGAGTTAGGTTAAGGGTGGTTAATCTTTAGGTGAAATAAGCTGGGACTGCTAATCTTCATAAATATGATTCACAAAATATAATATTCACCATTTCACACAGATGTTTACAAAACTGCTCAACAGTTATTAATCTGTTCAGTGATGATAACAACTGAATGTTGAGTCAACACTGTTGAACTTTAGTTCACCATTCCCGCCCAGCGAACGCTTTAATAATTTTCAGTGATGGTTACTTAATAAACTTATTTAGTTAAGATGAAAGCTGTATTATTCTAAGCCCCAGCTTGACTTAGAACTGAGATATAACTTAAGTGAGCCATTAGATACGTTCTTACGACGAGATTTATTTTAACATAGACCACAAACCTTAAAGATCATGTGGGGCCTGACGTTTAGGAGCGAGCAAAAGTTTCAGTTTCTTGCATTAATTTATTCTCTTAGCCTGGTGATGTAAAAATTCGTCTGACTGACTGACATATAGAATGGTTGTAATTCATGACTGTCTCATAATCTCCACTATTTAACATTAAATAGTATTTCCTATACAAAACATCAGTGAAGTCGTCGCTAGTTTGACGGCCAATATTAAGTTTGCCTCATAGATTTGGTGTTTGGACAGTTGTGGGGATGGACGGTGCAGGATAAGCATGTTTAAAAACTATGCAGTCGTGCAGTGAAGCGTTGATATAGATAATGTAGGTATACGGTGAAAGTATAGGCCGTGGGAGTGTACAGTTTCCTGTGTGCCGAGACAGTGCAGGTAAACATATATGGTAAGTATACATACATACATACATACATACATTTACGAAGCATACAAATATGTTTAACTAAAAAACTAGTAAAATAAAGTTATCGTAATTCTCATATGGCGAGAGTATTATATACTGTAATTGGCGTCTTCGGCAGACATTACGAGTCTCAGGATGAGAATGTCTTAACACCTGGGTTACCTCTCCTGATAGCAGTGTAAACATAAGTTTATAATCATAGGAGTCACAGCAGGAGCTTCGTGTTTGTTTCACGTAACACGTTATTGAGGTCCTGTACGCCAATGTTGATAGATAAAGAGATACATGTATTTTCAATAAAATCGTCAAATAATTTCACATTTCTTCAAAAAGTGCAAGTAAGTTTGCTTAGACGGCGTGAGGTATATCATACAAGCATATGGACACCAGGGTGCTGCCCCGCAGGTCAACTACCGCGTTGGTCCAGTTTAAATTGTAGTACAGATCATATGCAGGTGACACAGCAAACTAAAACTCAGAGGTATGAGTCTTTAGAACAGTGGATGTGCACCAGTTTATTATTAAGAGTACGGCAGCACACATTTCTTGCTCAAGTTGTCAATGTACGCGGCGCACACAGGTGTTAGACCACGGACCTCTTGCGTTGGATTTCAAGTATTCAGTAATAGGTTAGATCTGGCGGTGAAGCTTCTTGTTCACAAAATGTGGTCGACTATCTGGACAGGTTAGGGAACATGGGTTCAAAAGGCGGATGGGACAGAACCCTACACTCATCAACAAATTTTATCGAAGACGTCAAGGCCCTCTTTCAATAGATGCAGTCTCTTCTGGCGATAACGCACTTCACGTATAAACAGCGTCCACGCCACCGTCACGTGTCGCCCTCCATATATACAGCTGGCCCGGGGTTGAGCGACAAAGTGGTGCCCGGGCGATCTCTCACAACACACATACAGTACCTGTACCTCCGCTACTCCGGTGCTCACACCCTCACTATATCTTCAGTTACTTCATGATGCAGGTATGTTAACACGATTTGTTTGTAAGTAACCCCATTTTCACTTACAATAGATTCAACAGTAGATAAAATGTTTAGCTTTGTTTTGATAATTAAAAATTATTTATCTTAATTCACTCATTTATTAGGTAATATATTTATCTAATGTCTTTTAATACATTCAAGTGTCTAATTATATGTTGCACTTTCAAATAAACATACTTAATCATGAATAGTGTGTGTGTGTGTGTGTGTGTGTGTGTGTGTGTGTGTGTGTGTGTGTGTGTGTGTGTGTGTGCGTGTAATTTTTCTTGTGTGTAACGTAGTGTTGGTAAAAAGGTAGGAATCGTGTTCATGTTTGTGTTAATAGCCTCATTATACTTGTTTACATAGTCTCTTAATGGTTGTATCTACAGAGCCTTTTATTTTTATATTTTGCATTGGCAGCCCCTCCTTCCCTCTCTCTTTGGAACTTGTATGTGTGCGTGTGTGTTCTATGTAAAAGAAGACTTTCAAAATATTCCTATGGATCTAAAACTACAATTCATGTGTTGGAGATACAACTCTTCTTCAACACATCTGATTTATTGTACAGTACATGACACACACACACACACACACACACACACACACACACACAGTTCAAGAGCTTTGTGCCAACTTTGAACCTCTGATATGACTACGGGTGGACCACGGAATATAGAATTGGTGTATGTGTTTATTTAGGGTGTATATGGTTTTGTGTGGCGAGGGAGGAGTGTGAATAGGGAGGTTGTGCATTTTTATTTAGTAAAAATGTAGACAAAGCAAGAGTCAGGCGGAGAAACAGATAACGCGAGACACATACACGCACTAACACTTCCACCTTCCTGATACATGACAAAGCCAGTAGGCCTAATGCACATGAAACTCCTCCTAGGCTCAATAGATGGCGTTGTGTTGTTGAAGGTTGATACTATGCAACAGTTGGTCTGGCAGCCTGCCAAGTTAGACGGCGTTGCAGAATCAGCTGACTGCAGTTAGTTCCAAGCTCCGCTACTCCCTGTCATTCTCCTGAGTTATCTGTGATATTTAAGTTGAGAAATGAGCGAATTAGGCAGAGAAAAAAGCGGTCCTTGTGACTGTGTTGCACCGAGTGAATATTATGACTGGGAAGAGTCATTTTTAAGTGATCCAGATAATGAAGGCCAGTTAGATAACACGGAAGTAAAAGCTGGTATGGAATCTGTAAGTTATCCATTTAGTACAGTAGTTGGCTCTCAACTAACAGTTACTAACAGATCATTGTTGAAACTTTTATTAATTGTTTTGTTCAATATCTCGTGTACTGGCCAGAGAAAACACAAAAATACTAGTTTGCCAATTCCGTCAAAAATTTCTAAGGACAAAATTAAACTCAAATCCACAGCATCTAACATACCAACCCAACTTTCCTTCTTAAACTATAAGAGAACATACTTCCGGTGCTCTGCCATACAGTGTTTGCTGAATCAGAGGAGGCGATCGTCAGGTCCTGGCTTAGCATATTACTGTTTTAGGGGCCGTGTGTGTGTACAGGAGGCGTTAATAATATGCCTGTGGACCCCAGTGTTAATGCCATGATGACCCTTAACCTTTAATGAGTCACCTTAACTAAATTAATTCACATTACAGCTGTCAAGTCTCATGCCAACTTTAAACATAATTTTACAAGTATTGTCATGTCACAGTCCTAACATTCTCTCTCTCTCTCTCTCTCTGCCATCAAGTCAATAGGTTCTTATTGTACTGTACTCAATACCTGGATTTTATTACTGAACATCGACTGTCTTAATAGTGAAATCCAAATCGTGATTTTTTTAAGCACGAAACGAAACATCAAATTCGACTTGAAAATCATGTTCGTATTATTCACCACCAGAGAAGCAAAATGGAGATGAACGGGAAGCCGCATATGAACGGCAAGGTGGAAATGAACGACAAATCACATATGAATGGGAGTGTGGTGGCCGGCAAGCAGGAGACCCTACAGTCGTACCAGCGGGCGGTGTTCGGGGCGCTCTTCCTGGGGTACGCTTGCTACATCTTCAACCGTAAGAGTGTCTCCTACGCCATCCCTACACTCCTCGCCTCCGGCCTCATCACTACTAACACCATAGGCAAGTACCATCACCCTAGTACCCCGAGGAACCCCTAGTACCCTGTATCCAGGTAGCCCCGAGGAACCTAACTTTGTCAGACCTTACTTGTATATGCTTAATATTTCCTTAACCTGACCTGACCTGACCTGACCTGAGCTACTTTTATTGTGTTGCAGGTATCATCAGCAGCTGCCAGAACACAGCCTACGCTATCAGCAAGTTCCTGGGCGGGGTGTTGTCTGACAGGATGAGCGCCCGTGTCTTGTTCTCAATGGGTGAGTGGTGCAGTGTTTTGGTGTTTACTGAATGACTGGTCACTATTACACTGCCTCCTGATGTCAAATAAGTACTGTATTAAGGCTAACGCCTGATCGAGGTGTTAGCTTTTCCCTCTGAACGGGTCATGCGTCTGCGTCTGCGCATACAGAATAGCTAACGCGTTAGCTAATCCGTGCATCGAAAACGCCTTATAATAAACGCCTTAATAAATATGATGGTTACTTGGCAATATTACGCTGCTTCTTGATATCAAAAACGTTTCCTTATCATTCTATCAGTTTACAAGTTAAAATTCTTATCAAGTGTTACTCCCACGTTTTATCACCTCAATCCACGTAAATGAGCTGACGATTGACTTTATAAATCTAGTACAGTATTTAGAAAATAATCTACATGTGAGTTTTTTCTCTGAATTTTGCAAAAGCGGATATAATAATAATGTTAAAAAGAAAAGTTTACTGCGTGGTTGTTAAGGTGTAGTGGCGGTTGGTAACGTCAACTGAACGAGTGTTGAAAGTAAGGTAAGTTGGTCAGGGTCGGGAGGATCGCCACATGGCTGTATTGTGAACTTTACTACTCGGTGTTTTGTCTGCCATGTTCTTCGCCCCCTTGACTTATTTCCTTATCTACTGTTGTTGTTGCTCTTATCACACGTAACGCTGTAATAAAAATCGAAAAAGCTACTCATTGTTTATCTCTCTCTCTCTTTCTCTCCATGGGCAGTGATACTCTAAAGTAAATACACTGAGGAATACGGATAAAATCTCTCAATAAGGCAGCCATTTATCGATGTATAGTTCAAGTCATGCATTCATAATCCTCAAATTTTCACTTCCAAATCGTTATTTTAGTTTTACATGTTTCGATAATTAATCATTGTTATTTACTGTCGGTATCAAGTCTTGAGTCATACAGCAGACAACGCATCACTGCATTTTTTACAACCTTGTAGAGAAGCAGCAACAGCGACGTGAACTCTAGTTTACCATCACCTGTAGATCACAACAGCTGTCACCGGCTGTCAACACGATGCCGCTCAAGATTACTTTGTTTACTCCCTGGGAACTTATCTTGTTTGTTGTAAGACCTTATCTTTAACAAAGAGCTCCTCACTGTTGACATCTTCCTGGTTGAGATAACTACCTGCCTCCTGCACCCTGCCCCCTCCCCTCTGCACCCCCTTTGTATAACCCAACCTATTCTGACCCCAATAATTACTTCATTTCATAATTATTTTCTATCACCATCATCACCATATAAAATCATTTATATTCAGTTTTTCTTTTTCTTTCCGATAACTTTTGAAATGGGTCAACACCTCAATGAGATTCGAACCATTATTGTTTGTTTAGATACTCGAAACTATATACTAATTCTATTTCATAAAGATCGCTACATTTTACTCTAAAGTATATCATATTATTCTTCATCACACAGCTGTATTTAGTTTCGAAACATCTTGAGTCAAATTCATTCGTCAAACCGTTAGTAGAGTGTTAGCCTCAGTTTACAAATTGCTGTGAGTTGGGGTGATGGATGACGTCACAGACAGGAGGGAAGGTGTTAGTCATGATCGTCACTGTCATCAGGTGTAATTTTGCTCATGTCTGCCTCCATTCACGCATGAGGAGGTGTACACTCAACTCAAGCTGATATACATCCACGCACTCAAGGACACACGCACCGAGAGGGCAGCTCTGATTCCTCTCACGCTCACACCTCGCAACTCAAGTTCTGGTTTTTTTTTCTTGGACGTTCATCATATTTGTCGTAACGTGTGATCTTATCTCAAATTGGTCAATTAGTCAATCAGAGGCAACCAGTTTTGCCCCTGGATCCCCACCTTCCCTCTCCCTACCCCTGCCATAGAGGGACCTAAGGGTGAACAGAGCATCCCTTGTCGTGGTGGTATAAAGCTGGATCGCGTGGAACTACATTTTGGGTAGATTAGGGCGTTGGCAGGGAAGAAACGTGTGAGAATAGTGGAGATGACCGGTAGTGTAGCGTAGTAACATGACGTCACTGATACCATCCACAACACTACCCAATGTTTACTTCTTTCTCCTTGCGGCATATTCTTCAGTATTGATGTTGTTGTTGTTGTTTTTTTCTTTAACCTCAGGTCTTCATCTACCATATTCGTGCCAAAACACATGATCATATATTATTCAAAACTGACAGTTTCTTAGATTATCGCATCACGTGACTGTTAAGCCCCATTACCCCCAACCATCTTATTTCACCCTGATGATTAAACACCGTTAAATTAGGTTACATTAGAGAAACGTGTTTAATCGTAATGTAAAATAAACCGGGGCTAATCTTAAGGTAATCCGTACAATGGTTTATGTTGTATTGTCTTATGTAATGTTATGTTTTATGTCTTTCCACACTCTTATTTACCCAGTCATGATGTTCTCTCATAATCTTCATTCACGTTACAATAACAAGAGATAAAACACTCAGGCCGCAGATAAACAGCCCCTGGTGACCCTGTACGTACAGTGGACTGTGAACTAGGGTGGGAAGACAGTCACCATGCACATGAACACTGCTATTAGTAAGGTTAAGGTTAAAGTTAGATTAGGTTAAACTACATTTGGGTTTGGTCGGGTAAAGTTTTTCTGGTCAGCTTAGAGACAACTGTTTGGATCAAATTTAGTAAAACTGCACAGTTTAGATTATTAAAGCTTGAATTGGCTTAAATCATAATTATGTCATGCCTAGATAGTGTGGGGGAGCACCCTAGATACAGTTAATAGTCTGTCCCAAAAAGTTATCAAATCTCAAAAGGTCCATTACCATCCCCGATCTACACGGCCAGGCAATAGACAACCTCCCTAGACCAACATCCGCCAGTAGGGTCAGCGGAATATGAAACAAGGCCCTTAAAACACCCATGTATGGGATAGGGTAGGATGTCTAGTGCCTGTACCGACAGACAATAACTAACCCATGACACAACCCTAACACACTATTAGCTAGGCAGTCAACCCGCCCTCTCTTACCTCCTAAACTTCTTCAATTTCCGAACTATAACTTCCTTCCCCCACCTCTAATCTTCTTTCTCTGCAAAAAAAGAAGTCTCCTAGACCAGTGACGCCCCAGGACAGGTGCCTCGTGTTATCTGCAGATATTGTGTACTGTAGCTACCGACTGTGGGACGCCGGGGGTGTGTACGAGGGCTCAGGTATCAGCAGTCCGCGGGGGTCCGTTATCTAATTCTTATCACTTACATAATAAACACTACCACCACTGGTCACGTGACGCCCACTGACCTACCCACCCATCCTCACACACCTCAGAACACTCAAACCGCCCCGAGAATCTCAGAAATTGATGTTGTACAGTATCTTCTTTGGGGCAGAAATAACGTATCAATCTTAGAGAATCTGTGCCATAGCTAACCTAACTAACCTTACCATAGTATTGAGGCCAATAATGTTGAGGCTTAAAACTGGACTCTAAATTACCTGGAAAGATTTAGTGAGTTCATTTCGTCACCATCATCACTAACCCTCTATTTACCCTCATATACTTGTCCGAGTTACTTGTGTTAAATATCAGTTTCCTGGTCCTGTACCGTATTTTAATTGAGTTGCTTCAAGTGCCACCCTTGCCGCGGTTATGTTTAATATGCATAGTATCTATTATAGCCTTAAAAGAAGAAGAGTATCCACGTTAAAGTAAATCAAATTCTCATCCTCACAGCTCAGGTTTCTTTTTAACCCCTCCACTCCGGGGACGCCCACTTTAAATTATTGTATTTGATTAACGCCAAACAATTTTATTCAGCCCTGAGAGGACCCCGTACACAATGGGTTAAGCTTTAAGATTGTATTATGCTGGGTTAGGCGGTAGTTTGACAATCATTACTGTTCAGTTTCCATGTCAGTGAATCACAAATGACTTATTCATGAAATTTTTATGATAATATTTTGCTGGCAGGAGCTATAGTTAGGATTATGGTGTACTGTTACATGTACTGTATGGTGCTCGATACGTTCACCAAAAACTCACGTGGTTGCTCCTTGTGTCGCAGTAATTCTGGATGCATAGAAATGAACCAGTGTAGTAGTGATGTTGTCACTAGTGATAATATTAAGAGTGATACGTTGTGATAAATCTTAAGTGTTTATAGTGTAAACACTGGAGTGACTAACTACTTGACACGTCGTGATAAACCTCCTGTAGAGGTGAAAGTGTTCTTGACGTCTTGTGGTGTCAAATGATGTTGGTGTTAATAAGGTGTCTGTTGCAGGGCTGGCAATGAGTGGTGCCAGCACGCTATTGTTCTCACGCACGGAAAACTCGGTGCTGTGGGCGCTGTTGTGGTTCTTGAACGGCTTTGCCCAGGGCGCCGGCTGGCCTGCTTGTGCCAAACTCCTGAAGAAGGTAAACAAACCACTACTCACCACTTCTTCCTTACTAGTCATTTCTTGCAAGGAGCGTCAATAAGTAACAGGCATGATATTGATACCAGAAGTTATGATAACCATTGTATGTAAATATATTATAAATCTTAAGAGTGGTATTCATAGTTAATTTCAGGTTATCGTACACTGGCAGAGATTAGTTGACTTGATCACAAGTTCATTGTAAGGTTTAGTGAACCTTGGCATTGCTCTGACAGGTGCTTCTTGCTTAATATTTGTTCATAATTATTTATTCCACCTTTATTGAGTGGATTTAGGCCACTGGTGTAATAAATTTTGACCAAAACAGAGCGAAAATATAGAAATATTCAATGGTTAGGAGTAGTAAAGTAAATTACAGTCACTTCACATTAGGCTAAAGTATACTGTGTGTGTCCAACAGTGGTTCAACCCGGCCAACTTTGGGACGTGGTGGAGTGTGTTGACGGCCAGTGGTAACGTCTCCGGCACCATTTCCCCCCTCCTGGCCGCCTACGTCATCATCAATCACGGCTGGAGCGCCTCTCTTATCATCGCTGGTCAGTGTTCAACCCTTCTGCCGCAATATATTACTCAGGCTAAACATGATTTGATTATGTTCAAAGTTAATTAGGAACTAATGTGGATTGTAACGGTATATTACGAAATGTGAAGAATGTTGTGAGTTGCTTCCAGGGTTTACTTGCAGTTTTTAATTTTAATATTGATAAGATGCGTAATATGTTGTGTACAGGTCTGTTGTCGCTGGTGATGGCCGGACTGACACTCGTCACCCTTGTTGACGACCCTGCCCACGTCCACCTCCCTGACCCTACCGCCCTCCCCGCACACCACGCTGCCTCCACCAACAGTAAGTCAAACTAAATAGATACATTTGTGTTTTAAGAGAGAGAAAGACGCAAATGAATGTAAGAAAAGACTTCTTCGGGGACTTTTCTGATATAAATAAAATTAAATGTGTTACAAGATAATGAAACAAACACCAGACTGGCCCACTTTTGTGCTTATTTGACTAAACATTAAAAATATTGCCAGAGAGTGTAGTGGGTGAGAGCATGACGGTGGGTCAGCTGGCGTCATCGCCCTTCCTGTGGCTGGTGTCTGCGTGTTACCTGGTAGTGTTCTGCACCAAGACTGCCCTCTCAGACTGGGGTCAGATTTATCTCATCGAGGAGCTCGGCCGCACACAGATGCAAGGTGAGGAACTGCTCGTAGGTGCTGGGTGAGGAAGGCCCAGTATCAACTACTGTACAGTATATGGCTAAGGAGAGTCATCTGTCCACTCAGATTAAAATCACATGCGGAAACATTTATATCATAAACTCCCTCTCGTTACTGTGAAACACAATTTTACTTAATGCTCATACAGTTGTACACTGACGTCCCTGTGTTACACGCACCTACACTAGGCTCTGTAGGGGCCATAAGTAATACCTAACGTGTCTTGATGTGCCCGCAGCGAGTTCCTTCACCAGCGCCATGGAAACCGGTGGGTTCTTCGGCGGCATCCTCGCTGGTATTCTCACAGACAAAATATCGAACAAGGTGAACCTCCGGGGTAATGGCAGACTGATGGTGGCCGCGAGCTTCATGGTGGCGTGTACTGTCGGTGTACACTCCTTGAGAACTTTCCTCACTCCTAGTACTTCACAGGTATAGTACTTGTTGCCCTCACCTCACCTCACTCATCTCTTAAACAGTCATTGCATCTCAGAATCACACACACACACACACACTATCCTGCTGGACAATACCCTACGTAATCAAGTAGTTTTAAACTCTAAGAGCCATGTTAGGATGAGAGGTTAGGTTAAGTTAGCATGGAAGGTGAGATTAGGTTAAGTCATATTAGACCATGGGTTAAGTTATGATAATCTAGTAAGGGTTAGATTAAATTAGATAAGATAGGTTAGACAAGGTGCGTGGTATGTTATATAAGGCTACAGTAAGGTTGTTGTATAAGGAATACCTCATTTGTTAGGTAACATTAAGGTTTATGGTTATTGACTGGTGTTATCTGATTGGTCGAGGCAGTACAAAGGGAAATGATGTCACGTAACTTCAGTGAGGAAACGCTTGTAGTTATCATAAGTATTTATAATAATAACAGTAGATGTGAGAAAATAATAGTAACAATAAATATAATAATAATTCAGAAATAAGACCCTATAATATGGCACAGAAACAAAAGAATATCAGATGTGGTAATGATTCATAACTAGTTAACTCTGGTAGTTAAGGTATACCATATAAATATAGGCACTTTTTTATTAAGTCGACTAGTTAGCTTCTTCATTTTTACATCTTAAGTTACGAGGGGTGTTAGTGGTTCAATCCCCCGTTTGTCTGCAGCTTAATTCAGTGTCTCGATGCCACCCTACCCCACATGAGGACACGCTCTGTACTATAGTGGTGGTCGTCCTACACAGGTGGTGGTGTCTGGTGTAGGCATGTTGCTGGGCGCCAGTATGTTTGGTCCCATCTCCATCTACGGCATCGTGGCATCCGAGTCCTTCCCCGCCCACCTCTCTGGCACCGCCCACGCTGTTGTCGCCCTTGCTGCTAATGGTGAGTGTGTGTGTGTAAAGGTAATGTCTGTAAATATGTATTTGAGTGTATGAAATAATAATAATTGTATATAATAAATATCAATAAATATAAGCCGTTTATATATTATAGTGCGTTTTTTCTCAGCTGGGAAAATATGCCCCGCCCCCTCCTCAAGAGTTACAGCTGATTGGCTGTTGCACACCTGTCCCATTTTGTCCTGAAGTAATGATGTATTTCTAAATAAGTTTATTCATAATCATTGAGTGTTCGTGTAGTTAAACTGAAGTGTTCATATAAGTAATGACGATGTTGTGTGACTGTTCACAAACCGAGATTAATAAGACTCGTCACTCGCTTGTTGCAGTTGGAGCGGTGGTAGCAGGGTGGCCACTGAGTTGGGTGGCCAGGACGTGGTCGTGGGGCGGCGTTTTATTACTGCTGGAGATCCTCGTTGCCTCCTCCGTGGCACTGATCCTCTCTACCACCAGATTACACATAAAACCCAAGCCTAAGATAGCTTAAGCCGCCGACTGATTGGTCATATTTCCCTGAAAGTGATCTGAATGCTGTGCTGTGATTGGTCTAACTAACCACTGAAACACACTCAATTAGTTTTCTCTGAAGTTAACCTGGTGTCGCTGTCATGGTTCTACAATGAATATTTGGGAATCACATCTCAAGGTTTTCAGAGCTAACCATAAAACTGACAGGTTTTCTGATAAACATTATCTTACGGAATGTGTTTTAAGAATTGGGGCGTTTTAGCTCACATTACTGTGTACAAATTTTGTGTGACGTCTTTTATTATCATGTTACTTGTATGTTTGTAACGCAATAGTGTGCCATTCAATACTTGAAAAAATGGATGAAACTATATAAATGTGAATAACATGTTAAGTGTACTTATGTTATTAACTTTGTCCAGTTTATGCTGCAGAATAGCAAGGGATAATTTGATGGGAGATTAGAAGCACCTGTAAGGGCATTGCTGAATCCAGTGTAAATTATGTATAGTATCTTCCAATGACCTACCAGAGAATGTTATGAAATGAGTAGACAGACAGTTGTGTAATATGTATAGACCTCTGTAGATATGTGTACAGTCTTTATCATTTGTGTGTGTATGATTTCAATACTGCTGTATGTATCATATTTAATGCAGATGACACGAAATTTTTAATCTGATGCCATAAAACCAGAAAAGTGTATCTCTTACCTTTTGATAGCTGATGCATGACCTAACTTACTTGTGCGCGACTATATACAGTACCTTAGTTAATGAACCTCATCACTGCATTAACGTCTAGCAGTGATGTGCCGGATATACCTCATTGACCTGGCAGGTTTGTTTACAAGGTTCTGAATATACTGCCAGTTTACAAGGTTTATGAGTGACGTGAATGTGAGGTTAGCAGTTACATAATGCTATATTTGATTCATAAAAAGTATGAAGATAAAATTATAGGAATTAGTAAATTAATGTGTTAATAGAAAATTAAATAAATTTGCGAATAAGATTTGTGGTTTTCTTTTGTTTGGTTCTTTAAGGGAATCAGATGGTCAATGGTGCTGAAGAGAAAACTAAATGGCGTAGTACTGAAAAAATACCCAGCCCACAAGAGCACCATCACACTTAACCGACTACTACTACTCCTCAAAAGCACCACACTTACCCTGCTACAAGTACACCGAGTGGCCGAAAGAATACAGAGGTCAGTTCCTGTCCAAGGTAATAGGCAGCTATCAATCAGGGAGGTACTACCGCCTGGGAAGATATTGGAAGCATAATGTGTTGTCTAATGGTAGACCCTGCTGCCATAGAGCATCACGAAAAATTTGACTCAGTCCCAGGTTGCTGATCTGACTTTCTGCCTCATTTACACACAATTGCAGGTCTCAGTTGTTTGCCTTACTAATGACATTTGACAACAGCATATATATATATATATATATATATATATATATATATATATATATATATATATATATATATATATATATATATATATATCTCGTTTCTCATTCTTGATCTTTTTCAATTTTGGTATACATGGTTCTCTATTACTGTATAACAGATTATTATTACTATTTGTTATTATTATTATTTATTGGTGCTACAACTACAAAGATATCCTTAGTATAATCTAATCTAACCTGACCACCTGTACTTTACCCCACATTTTCCCTCCACTTAGAGCAACCAATGTTGTTGGTGATTGGGGAGGTTTTATCATTTAAAATATTCGAAAAATATAAATTTGCGCAAGAATTGCTATAGAAGAAAATCGATTCGTAACCATTATCTTTTTTCTTTTTTTTTACGGGGAATAGCCCACCCGAGCACAGGTCACTGACCCACATAATAATAATAATAATAATAATTAACGGTTTATTGAAAGAGCTTGGCAGCCAGAAGGCTGAAAATATACAGTTACATATTTGGGGAATGGGTTACGAATTACAAATAATATACAAGTAACATAAGTGACACAAATAAGACATATAATAACTAGATGGGGAAAAGCTCAAACTACAGTTCATTTCAACATAGTGACAGTGTAAGGGGCTGGGGGGCGAAAATGTAATAATAATAATAATAATAATAATAATAATAATAATAATAATAATTCATATAAATAAACTTATAATACAAAATACAAATTTGAAAATAAAATGATAATAATAATAATAACCACTGTAATAATATTGTTACTGATAATGGTAAAATTTGGGATTAAAAACGAATATTAACCAAAATAACTAATATTAAAATACTACCCAGCTATTTAATTTCGAGTTAGTAATAATTCACTAAACTAAATATAATTCAATAATAATACCATAATAACTTCATCTTAGATTATTTGGGGTAATCTGCCTTAAGAGCAACAACATTTAATGGCCTCGTCGTCTCGTCCGTGTAAGTTATTTAACATTCATCTCGCACGTTGGTGTGGTGTGTGGTCTGCAGGGTTGATGGGCTGTAAGGAATCTTTTAAAATATCACGTTTAATGACTCTTTTCTCTTACATATTGTAGTGTTGGATGGGGAAATATATGTAGAATTAATACTTGAGATAAATGATATGATGCCGATGGACTGTCTCGACTCTGGAGGGATATATCAGTGATGGTTTATTTGAAGGTTTAACGGAAATGTTTGTTTTAATTATATAGGTATTTTTAGATAACACCAGAAGGAGTTAAAATGATTGGACTTAACTTTGTGGAAACTTTAATTACAATGTATTAAATAGATAAATGGAAACAAGAATGCACAGAACCAATTACGGTAGGACGACCTAACCTAAAGGAACCTGCCTAACTTACCAGAAAAACCTTTTAAAACAAACCGAACAACACTAAATTCTCATGTCCATTTATCTAATTGTAATTAACGTTTCCACAAGTTTTGTCACATTCTACCAACTCCTGGTGTTATTCTAAAAAATGCTTACCTAACCGACAACCGGACAAATATCCAGTGGACAATATATCATAACATAAGGTAAAGGTAGACTTCCCAATCTTACTGTAAGTTTGGTTTTGTAGGCAGTAGCCAATACCTCCAAGCTGCCTGATTGGTTCCTTTCATAAATTATTTTTTATGTAGATTATAAAAGCTAATGTTCCAGGTTATGTTAGTTGGTTTGGATGGTTCAGTTTTGTAATGTTGAATCATAATGTAGCAATATCTGGTAAGTTGTTCCTCTAATGTATGACTTGGCACCAAAATTTGTATTCAGTTAAAAGTTCGCCGCATTTCAGGAATCATGTGTACTGGGTGTTCGTTCAATCTGTTCCAACTGTATTGCCTGTCAAGAAGAAAGTTCAGTTGTTTTATTTGATCTCGGTCTGCTATATGCCATCACTGTAAGATTAAAATAATACGGTCCGACTAATACCCAAATGTAGCCAAATATAGCCGCAATGAAGTCAAATAATGGTCCTACATGAATAAATCGGACTGCTAATCACTTCTCGACTAGTATTTGGTGTCAGAAAGTCACAAAATATTGGAAAACTTACTTTAATCTGAGTTAATAGATCGCGTGCGTGTACCGACGGAGCGAGGAATTACCCATTCATATAGGCGGGCGTTCATAAGTCGAGGACCCCCTGTATCTCATTCCATTTGGAATGAACCACTGAATGGTATACAGGTATACTGTATTACTGTACTGTATTTAAATTTGACAGTTCCTTACCCGGTAGTTGTTTGTTTCTTTTTATGGTTAGGGTAGGTTTATTGGATAACTTAGGTGAGTGGTTGATGAATATTTTATTAATGCCTCTGTTTGTAATTATCTTGTTATTTTTTTAGTACAGTACTGTACCTGCTTGAAGGTGTACAAATAAAAGTGCTAGAGGAATACCCACTGCTGTGCCTCCCCCCCCCCCTCTTTTTTTTCTCTTGAGATACTAGACAACACAAACCAATAAACAAACCTAATCCAACACGTTTTTAATCACAATGAAGAAAGGCATGAAAGAATATTAGTTTGTACCCTATATTTTATTTTTACTTAGTCAAAATACTTTTAAGTACTGTAGCCTATTGAGGTACAGTGTGTACCAGTAATTGCTCCCATTATCATGGTTTTGGCATGTGAACTTATTATGTATTGGTTCTTGCATCACATAGCAACCACTACAGAACATGTGCTGTCATGACCTATCCCTGTTTAACCACATCCTAACCATAATAGCTACAGTATTTCTCAACTGCCAAAGCTGATTTTCTATTTTGTGTAATAAATTATGATCATACTATTTTTTCTTTTATTTTAGGTTTTGAAGTTAAGAGTAGATGTTGCTGCTCAAGGCTGTGTCTAGAACATGCATCATATCAAGACACTGTCTCTCATACCAGAAGGTATCCACTCTGACACAACAGCTGAGGCACTTCCACCGTCAGTGTGCCTCCATCCATCCTCGTAGAAGAGTGATGGCTCGCACAATATACACCCAGCACTCTGATCAAGCAACTAAGGCATCTTCCAAAATAATCCCGGACTCCTATGGTGTATCACTTCACAGATTCATTTCTTCCTCTGCTCCTCAGAGATTACAGTCTCCTTTTTTACTTGCCAATGTCTTACAAAACAGAAGTGAACAACGAGCATCTAAAGATAAAAATAATACTGGAGTGAGCAGTTATTTTTGCAATTTATCTCAAGTCAGAAATGTGATTTTATCTCAAGTCAGAAATGTCTACACAAGTCTGCCAAGGAAGGACATTCCCGAATACCTTCATGGCAACATAAGTGAAGTAGCCAGTATAGAGAAGGACTTGTTTGAAGATGAGTTGGAAAATGATCTCTATAATGATACTATAGAAGATGATATTGTTGATTTCTTCACCTCTCATCTTATATCATATGAAGAGACAGACACAAGCTTTACTCTTCAATGTCCAACTTGTTTTTCCAAGGAATGTGATACCAATGTGCCGGCACAGGAGATTTTTGTCGATAAAAATTCTGGTTAGTAATGCTAACACTAACGGAAAGACTTCCTTTTCTAACAGCTACCCAAACAGGAGCCCAGAGAATAGAACATAATGTGGTAGAAGCAAAAACTGTAAGCTAATGGTCCGAAATGAAATTTTTCTTAACCAAAATAATGTACAGATGTTTGTCAGCAGTACAAAAAAACAAAATGCAAAAATGTCACAAAATGTATTTCATGAGCAGCCATCTTGTGTAAAGTTGGCAGTTAGATGAGGAAGTCTTACTCAAATTAGAAAAAGCCAACATTTGTGTATAAAATTTTTTGCAGGTTTGGGTAGTGACCATAGGTGAAGAGGGTTAGCTAAGGTATTCCATGTTTCGGATATAAAACTGAACACTGTATACTTGCCTGATCATGGGTTTCAACGTGTGTCTCAGATGGTGTTTAAAATTGATTCCATATAATCTGTGGTGCCTTCTCATTTTCATACACTGTACTGTACTCTACTGTCATTCTTGTATCAGTTATCATAAAATCCTTGTGTCAATTCTATTACTTTGAATGACAGTAATGGAATGTTGTCATGATTAAATAGTGCTAGAAGGGGGACTATTTATTATATGGGATGGGTACTGTACAGTTTTAACAGGGACATGTGCTGTAATAAAAAGTAATTTGGGTATTTTTGGGAGTTTGAAATTATGTAGTCTGGAAAAATAAAAGTGGAACCATCAGAGCTAGATTGGTGCATTAGTTAATGAAAGAAAATGTAACTTTGAATAAATGAAAATACCTGTACTGTACTGTAATTGTGTTGTGCTGGGTCGTGTGCAGTAATGGGTGAACCTGAGGGAAATATTGGGACGATGGTGTGGAATGGAACCACCTTACTGGAACACATTTGTTACACCAGCCAGAATGAATGAAGGACAGCAGGTGAAACAGCAACAGTTGTTCTTGATGTTTAATGCCCTACACATAATAGAAAGTAAATTTAAGATAAACCAGGTTAAAAGAAATTAAATTTTTAAAGACTGTTATGTGGTGGTGGTGTTTTAATGCTGAATTATTAAGGAATGCTGAGAATAATGATGATGGTAGTGTTCATCCATATTCAAGGTTGCTATAAGAAATTTGAAACAATTTGTCTTTGGTTTTGGTAAAAAAAAAATATTGATCTCTGAGGGCACTGACATGAAGTTGAGAAGAACTTGTGACTTACCCTTTCACCATTGTTGTCATTGTCATCAGTACAGTGTGAATAATGAACAATGTTATATCCGAGTGCACCTACAAGCAGTTTCTTAGTTGATGTGCAGGTTTTAGTGAGCGGATAAAGTGAGATACGGTATAAGGAAGTATGAAAGTATGTACAGGTAATACATTTATTGAAAATTAGGTACAGTACATTGTATTGATGAAATAAAGAATTTGGTACCAAGATGTGGTATGTGATATATAGGGATAGGTTAAGTTAGGATGATGTCTGTAAAGATGGTATTTGAATGATATATAAAGTGTGATAACTATAAAGATCTTTGATTTTCATTATAAACAAAAAGGCTTTCTTACAGGTTACTTTGTGTGTCCTTGGTGCAATCAAGATGGCTCATGGGAGGAGTTGATGCATTTGTTAAATTCTCAAGAAGATTGCCTCACCACGGAACAGCTGAACAGTTACCTGGCAACAACTCTGCCTATTACCGATGTTGGGGAACACTTCTTACAAGACTCTCCACTCAAGGTAAGACTCACCTGTCAGTGATATAGGACATAGTTTGTTTCTCTCTGTTTAGTTATATTAATTCGGTTTTTAGAAACAAGATAAAGAAATAGTTTATAATCTTAACATTGTTTTTAGGATAGGATGACTGGGTATGTGCTATCCTTGTTTGAGTACTGAATACGAAAGATATACTGTGTACTAAACCGTACTGTATAGATATAGAATACCTGTGTTATACAGTACTGTATATTTAATATTTCCTAAAAAATACAAAACTAACAAATTGTTCATATTAATTGTTTCAACCTGTTTTTTACAGAATGTTAGCACAAGAACTCTGGAGAAATTTGGTGCAAGATTAACCAATGATGAGACTCGTTTGGTGGTGCCCATCTACACTGTTGACGGAGAAGTGGTGGGCTTCCACAGTGTCTCTCTCCTCCATCACATTCCTCATGTAAGGATGTATGTGTGGACAGCAGTGAATGGTTTTCAGGGATAGATGTGATATGATTAAACAAGGTGGATATCTTGAGTCCTTGTTGAGGATGGGTAACAATGTAGCAGAATGTGTCTGGTAAGGCAGATTGGAAGAATGAATGGTAGTGAATGAGGAAGAGCTTATATTTTTCTTTTTCTGACTGTTCTGTGTTATACAGTATATGGAAAGGGCTTTCCAAATTGAAAAACAGTCACAAATAAAGTTTGCCTTTTCTTCCAGAACCCTTATACCTTACTGTTCTCTGTGAATTGGTAACTTTAATGGGGGTGGACTAGCTTAGTGTAGGACCTTAGTATAAGAGGGGCATCCAAATTTTTAACATAGTGGGCCACCTGATCAGAAATTCATGTGTGTGTGAGCCTTATGGGTTTTATACTGATAACAGTGGTGAAGTATAGTCTGTTAGCTGTTAAAAAATATGGATTGCTTAGCAGTACGTAACACAAAAGCAATCCCCAAAATAGCTTAATCAACTTTATTTGGACAAAAGTTCTCAGTTATAGGCCTAGTGCTAGTCACTGATAAGTTTTGATCAAGTCAATGAGAATACTGATGTTTAACAGACTCAACTATCCTCGAGGACTGTGGGGTGTATTCCGGGGATACTGTGTCTTCTTGGTGGGCATAGTTTGCTTTCAGCTCACTCAGTTCCTCTTCAAACTGAGCCACACTGATAGGGCAGATTTTGATAATTCAGACACATCTTGAGGTTTACACTCCAAAGGTAACCACAGAAACTTAAAGCATGATTCATACTCATTAATACATGAATCTCTTCTGAAATTGTAACTTCATTTCCACCAAATAGGTTTGCAATTCTTCAAAAATCTATGTTTACATAGAGTTCAGGGCAGCTCGGCAGTGGAAAATGAGTGCAGTCTCCAGTTTCCATCTGCTCAATCCATATGTCCAGTTGGAGTATGAATACCTGCACTTCCTTGCACCACAAACACTACAAATATAGTCTATATTTTTAAGAAAATGTATATAAAGGGGGTTTAAAGCTCATGAGCATAATGTAATTGACTTTTCAAATATTCTAAATATCTTTAATTACTGTATTTCAATGGTCATTAATTAACACTTATTACTCTTTTTTTTTTTTCTTCTTTTTTAAATTGTGAACCCAGATCCTTTATCACCATGTAAAGTAATATCTTTGTATGAAATTTGATCAAAATCCATGGTATGACCCCAAGTGTTGAAACACAAGGTACTGTACTGTATTAGAATGGGATCCATGTCCATATGAAGCATAGCATCCAGTACTTGTACAGTAAGTACTCTCAAAATAAGTAAGTTGGTAGTAATTTAGTCTCCTTACTAATAAGAATATACCTGTACCCTGCCTGTACCCTGCCTCTACAACAGTCAGGGTAAATCAGTTCGTAGACTCATTCCCGTGACTCGGTTTCACAGCTGGGAGCAAACTTTTGTCCCTGATTGTATTTCCACCATTCTGTGTAAGACCTTGTAGGAGTGTTGTATTATACTCGTACTCATTTCATATCCAACATGTCAGTCTTATACTGTATGATACAGTACACTACCCCAGATCCTACATATACAAAATTGAAATCCAGGATGAGTGATTTCTCTCTCATCAGATAATTCGGAGGTGTGTTGCTGGTGAGTTGAAAGCCTTCAGTCTGGTAAGCATGAGCAAGAAACAGAAGAAGGTGATAGTGGTACCCACCTGCTGTGATGTTCTTGTTCTTGCAGAATACAACATCGCTGCTGTGTCTCTTCCTTCTGCCAGTGAGTAGTCTTTCTTGTTTCCTTCTCTTTATACACATTTAATTTAATGATTTATTAAAATCAGATTTAACGTATAGTTTCCAGACAATATTCATGAAATTTTAAAACTATGAGTACTTATACTATTTTTTATATATGTGAGTACAGTAATAACCCCCAGGTGAGAAGTTAGGTTGTTTGCTCTGTATATATTCCTAACATAGCTGGTGGCCAGCTAGAGCCCCACCACAACACAGCTAAATAACACCCTAGGACTCATCCTGACTACAGGATTAAACCCATGTCTTAAAGGTTGGTGGCTCAGTTTGCTGCCACTTGACCTACACAACCACAGAGAAAACTTTTACCTGAATTATATATTAAACAAGTTTAAATCTAAACTAAACTGCTGTACAGTAATTGACTTCCTACCCATTTGCATTTAAGGGAAGATTTTTCATCTTGTGTCACTTCCATTAATATATATATATATATATATATATATATATATATATATATATATATATATATATATATATATATATATATATATATATATATATATATATATATATATATATATATATATATATATATATACACACACTGTGTGTATGACAAATTGTGCTTATCAAAGGTCAGTTTTATTATAATCATCTGCACCAAACATTCACTTGTGTTCTAACTCTCTTGCCAGTATCAGCCTTCATGTTTAGTGTGTGTCCACGCTTGTGCTTGCGTGCTAGTTTCCTATGTTCTGGTATGCACTGTACTTACCTACACACTAATAATCCTATGTACTGTTTCTTGTAGATTTTGAAGCCCTTGAAGAATATTTGCTCAGTTATGGAAAAAATGAAGTATTGTTGTGGTACCGTGGGGAGGCTCCACCTCGGCCACTCCTGATGTCTCTTATTAAGGCAGGAGTGTCCTGTTCTCTTGTTCAGTAAGTACTGTACAGTGTAAAGATTATTCCTACATTGATAGATCTTTTCCTTTCCTTAGTGTAACCAAGGCAAAAATAACAGTAACATCCATTGTTAAATCTGCCATTGTGTTAGAGAGATGGCATCCCCAAGATAGGGGTTGGATTAGTTTGTTACCTTAAACATGATGGTGGCTGGTTGTGGTCTCATCTGAGTTGTTATGCTCTCACCATACACAGTAATAACTCTCATTCTTATATAGCTGTAGAATTAAATTTGCATCATTGCCTGAACTGTGGTGCACTTGATCCAACATCACTTGATACAACTTGTCCCACAATTTTTTCTTTTTCTAGAAAAATATAAATCTAAAGTGTGAAATTTGGAACAGTATTAACAAGTGTTTAAATTGAAACTGTAGTTTTATTCTTGTGCACTGACCAACCTCTTACAACACTAGTACTCAACACACCTTGGTCTAAACAATTTTTGCCTTAAATATATCCACTGCAAATTACTTACATCTGTTAATACCAGTAAAACCAAGATGAGACATTTTTGTAATATACAGTTGTTGATCTGTGCTATATTATTAAGGACTATGGAAGGTGTATATACCAGTGTGCCCTCTGAAGGACACAACAAATAATAGTATCCTATATCGAAGTTAAACTTGCCTGGTAAACCATGGATAAGAAAGTTGAATATATATGTTTAGTTATGTGATACAGAGGTAGGAATAAGCCCAACATTTAAAGTGCTTTAAGTGAGGAAAGGAGTTCCATAGTAGAAAAGTGTAAGGAATGAAAAAGGTGAATGATTATAAGATATGAATAAATGGAACTTGCAGGAAATAGGAGTGACACATGTTGTGATAGGTTGAAAAGAGGGATGGACAATGGGTTGGATTACATTGGCATGACAACCATGAAAATAGCATTAGGAGAGTGAAGGTGAAGAATTGTTTATAAGTAAAGTACGAGTGAGCCAGTAAGAGGAAGACTAGTTTTATGGATACATTCTTAACGATGTAGGAAATGTGGTGTTTCCAGGAAAGATTGTTATTTAAAGCATGACCAAGGATATTAACAATAGTGGCTTGTATAATAGAGATGAATGAGAATGAAAATGGGAGCAGGTAATAATCTTGTTTGTGAGTAACATTGGAATTTTGCATTTTGGTGACATTAAATGTACAGTACCAAGGTTCTTTCTATCCCACTTGAGCTGTAGACCCATATTGAAGGTACATGTAGTTGTAGTATTTAGATAATCATCTGGGAAATTTTACTGGGTATGGGCACTAGAATGGTAGAGTGAATATTTTAATATCATCTGCAGAGTGTGTGTGCTGTTGGAAGGAATGGTGACTTGTTAACTAAGATGAGTACAAAAAGGGTAGAAGCAAGACTTGGGCCTTGACAAGAAAGTAGTCAATATGTGAACTGTTCACTATTGCAAATACTTGCAGGCCAGAAGGAAAGAGGAAATCCAAGAAAGTGGAGAATAAGGAGGACCAAAACAAGGAGATTTGACAATGTGAACCTGATTCCAAAAATAGAAACATTTCGAAATACAGCATTGGGAGCTCTTGCATCAACACTTGTTTAGGTTTCAATCTTAAGTATTGAGTTTAACCTTATAGACCTGTGTCTGAGAGATAGAGATGCAGTGGGATGGTTGTTCTTAAATGTTTGATGGTGGCAGTTGTTGGTGTTAAGGGTTAATTTGAGTTGTAACACATCAGACTTAATGAGTATTATTATGCTTGAAACTCCTTGTCCTGAAGCACCTTTATAATGAGATTTCCAGGATTAGTCCTTTATACCTACCGTAGCTACTGTCCCAGGTATGTACTGTTGTGGTGTCCCCCATTCACAACAAGGTCCCAAGTTGTCTCATGTTGCCACGCCTTAATGTGCATTCCACTAGTTATTTATTGTAAGAATTTTTTTATTATTTACAGGTCATCGGGGAATGACTATCCAATACACAAAAAGTCATTGGAAGAAGTGAAGACTTGTCTTAAGGACACCATACCTATAGTGTGTGAAACAATTGTTACCTTCCAGCAGCTTAAGGATAAGATATATCACAGACTCACACACCAGGAAGAGGTAATTCATTTTCATCTTTGGCAATATAAATTTTAAATTGTACAGTATACCTTGTATTGTAGTAAGACTATATTAAGATTATTATTATTATTGTATGCAATTAATTTTAACTTTCATTTTGTATCTTTAAGTCATACTTTTTTCAGTTTAGTGATATATTTTTATAGCCCTTCATGAGGGGGCAAAATAGTGCTACCCTTCTACTGTATATACTGTACAGTATCCTGAAGTTTCTTGACATAAATGGTCCAACAGTTCATATCAGATTGAATTCAGACTTGGAAAACTCAAACCAATACAGTTTACAGTACAGTATGTCCCTCAAGTTCGTCGATTTTTTCTTCCCGGTTCTCGGTTATTCGCGGATGACACCCTGGATGTACCCAAGAATGTCTGTGGGTAGTTTTAAAGTTGCCGGCATTTTCGCAGCTGGGACAGGGACCCATTCGATCTAGAGACAGAACTAATTTCCTTTGCTTGTATTGTAAATATGTAGACACACACACACAAAACACATACAATTAAATAATAATTGGAAAATCCTCTCACAAATAAATCAGAAACAAATTTATTAAAAATGTAACAGTCTACCCTGAAGTCCGTGCTTTATTACTTTATTAAGAGCTTGGACTTGAGGGTGCACTCACATTTTTAATAAATTTGTTTCTGATTATTTGTGAGAGGATTTTCCATTTACAGTATTATTTATTTATACACCCTGTATGTGTTTTGTGTGTGTGCATGTTTACACACACACACACACACACATACAATACTACAGGTAAAATAAATAATTGTCCTCAGGGCAAAACACATAAAGGGAATATACATTTCTTTGTTCACAAGTAAAAATGTAACCCCCCCCCCCCTTCCCCGTCCGCAAATGTTATTCGCGGATTTCTCGATTTGCGGCCATTTTGAGAACCTGACCCCCGCGAATTTGGGAGGCCCCCTGTATACAAGTGTATGTACATATTGCCTGCCTGGATGTTACAGCTCGGTAAACATCTGGGTCAGTGTTGAAAGTTAAAGTATGAAGCATAACTTTTGTATCAGTATAAATATTCCAACAAAACTTGCCATGTACTGTACAGTACTGTATAATGTTATCAGTGGACAGTGTCAAAGATCAAGATCGTAGGGAGGTCAAAACATTGTCTGGACTACTGTATAATTCTTTTATCAATACAGATGTTGTGATGATTCATTATTGCAGAACACAAAATTCACATGTTGATGTCATTGTTCATGGTTAATCTATAGCATGCCACTTTTAATATTTTATCTGTTTAACGCCTGGTGATTTTATTCAGTTCAGAGGAAACACCTTATATGAGTGGCTAAAGGTAAATTTGGGTCATGCAATAATTTCTAACAATGCAGTTATTTTGATGCACCTCATTATGACCATGTGTCACCTCTAGATATGTGTACTGTGCAACATTAAAGGTAAATCTTTGTGACACAAGTCAAAGCTACAGGTACAACAAATTATTTGTAGTACAAAACTTCTGTGTAATTGTTACTAAAGCAAAAATTATTTATACCATCAACGCCCACAATTTTGTAGGGTGGTAATTCATAGTTGATAAGCTTTGCTTAAGCTAATGTTTTGGCAAGTCAAAATAAATGTGTAGGTGCTCACCATACACAGTAATGCCATCCACTTTGGACTGATTGTGGTATTGAACCCACATCTTTTGAGTTGGGAACTTCACTACTTACCAAAATATATTCCCATTTTTATTATTCATTGTATCAGTGTGTGGAGATGTACTAAGAAGGAAGCATCAGGGAAATAGTCTGCATGCAGTACCCTGTTTAAGATTTACGATTGGTAGAAATACGATATACTGTAGTTTAATTTTGTGTTAAGTTATATATAATTTTTTTATCATGCCTAAAAAAATTCTGTGTAATGCTCAAAAGTTAATATTTCCTGTGCACTGTAATATTTTTCTTTCTTGACAGACTTGTGGAGTACAGTGGAAGAGGTTTTCAGAGCTTAATGCCCTCTTGTTGGGTCACCGGCAAGGGGAAATGACGGTCCTGACAGGTCCCACTGGTTCAGGGAAGACCACATTTATGGCAGAGTATTCCCTCGACCTCTGTAGTCAAGGGGTTAGTACCTCTCATGGTCTAGAAGGAAAACTATGGCTATAATGGATGGCTGTAGTCAAGGGCAAAATTACTCTCCTTCATTTAAAGTGATTCATCTCTTTTATTGGCTTACAGATGTGTTGTGGTTTAATGTTTGCAGATACAATACACTTATACAGCAATAATTGGTATAACTACATTGTTTTTGAAGAATATAACATTAAAGCAAATTCATATCCATTTTCTAAAGTTGCATGTCTTAAATTGCACCCAGTTTCAGTTCAGTATTAGATAAGGATGGTGATTAGGCATATTGTAATTCAGAGTGGTAGACTGCAGATAATATCAATATGGATGTAGAAAGGTTGCTTTAATATTAAACAGAAAGGTCAAGGAACTATTAGTGTACAGGTATGTTAGCATTTCTGAAAACCCGGCATCCGTACAAACAATGTTTGCATAGATTTAAAGTTGTTTTAGTGTTTTGGGCAGATGAATTTTTCAGTTCAAACTAGAAAATTAAGTGTATGAAAATAAATCTTGAAAGTGTGCGTGTCATCATGACTCACGCCAGTCAACACTTGTGGGAGATAGGATGCACATTGCTTCCGCCACTTCACAACTTTTATGATGCTTTATAACACCATCAGTTTTCCAAAAGAATTTCCAGTATACTCTCAGGCATGACTGATGCATTCACTAACATATGTAATGACATATTTCTTTTTGTTGCATCATCGCTAGTGACTACCTTTTTACTCATTGGCACTCTTGCCACATCTACTCCTTTTGTTACATGGTAACATACTTTTCACCATAACTATGTTACTCCAACTATTCTAATATATATATATATATATATATATATATATATATATATATATATATATATATATATATATATATATATATATATATATATATATATATATATATATATATATATATATATATATATATATATATATATATATATATATATATATATATATATATATATATATATATATATATACACACAGGAGTACTCATTATCATTTACAATACATATGTATCTATTGTGTTAGGAACAATTTTGAATGTGAATATTATTTTGATTTCCTCCACCCTCGCTGTGCAGCTTGGAATCAAAACCTATGTTTTTTTTTGCATGAATTCTGTCCAAAACTCTCTCTGAGGCTTAGAATTGGGGTCGGCTTATATTCATCAAAATAAAGTATTGTCCATGGTGTGCACAGAGCTTCCAAGAATAATATAAAGAATAAAAGAATGCACAGAGGTGGCGTGTATGAAGTTATCATATTAAACCATCCTCCGAGTGTGAGCTCATTCAAGGCCAGACTTGACCAACACTGGAGCAGGTTCCGATATATTTAGGAGCCAGTGCATGCCCAGTATCTGCCAACAGTGCGTATCAGAGATGTGACCGACCGCACAAGCGGCTAATGAGTCGAACGGTGGCAAAGAGGATAAAAGTAAATAAGTATTGATTTTGGATTTCCACTCAATTTAATTGTGGAAGATAAACTATGTTTATGTATGTTGAGGATATGAACATGTATAAGGGGATATCTATACCATTTTTTGCTCTTTTCTGTCATTTTTTGCACCATACTCCCTAGAAATTACAGTACTACCTTCCTTGAGGTTTTGTGTCATAATTCACCCCTGACAGAGTAAAGTAGTACTCATCAATAAATTGGTAGACACATTTATAATTTACGATAATTATCTCATACATTATGTGGGATGAGAAAAGTTGAAGTTTACATGCATTTGTTCACCAGGTTAAAACGTTGTGGGGAAGCTTTGAAGTGAGCATTGTACGGCTGTGTGAGGTGATGCTACAGCAGTTTAGTGGTGCTCCTTTGCCTCACGACCTCACCACTTTCAACACCTTGGCTTCTCAGTTCTCCATACTGCCTCTCCACTTCCTCACCTATCATGGACAACAAACTCCTGCCTCCGTCATAAAGGTAGGGCTGTTGTCATTTACCTTAACTTCTATATAGGTCCTGATAATGTATTGATGTATTTTGTAATGTTATAGCAAGAAAGAACTAACACCTGCAAATTAGTTTTGCCTAAGTTGAAGTATACCTGGTACAGCCACAGTCAAAAGCAATCACCCACTCCATCATCTCCTGTGCCTGGCCGGCACAGGGAGGATTGAAGAAAGCAGGAAAATTCGTGAAAGAAGGAAGGGAAGGAGTGGTGTAATTTTTTTTCACTATATTATCATAGGTTTACATGCTTGAAAGAGGAATAGATAAGAACCCTCATATTTCGTAAGATCTCATAATTCCTAAAGGCTAGAGCCCCTATTATTTCAAATAATGGGGTTTTATTGTATACTCTTAGTACTACTGTGTGGTGTTGATCATTATTTAATAGTTCATAATTATACACATACGGTATATCTTTTAGTGGCAGAGCTGCATGTGTTTAAACTGAAATTGGCCTAACCAGCTGAATCGCGCACACACACCCTTGCTCTTCATTTTTCTTATTTTATATTTTTATATTATATAATCTTTATTTCTAAGTCACATCAGAGTATTAATATGATTTTTTACAACTTTATAATTTCACTACATGTAACAATGACAACCTGTGTAACTATCTCTAAGGCCACTGCTGACTAGTGAGTTGTGTTATATTTTGAATTATGCACTTTATTCTGATTTGTAGAAATCAAGACACAACTGTGGCGATTCATTTTTGTTGGATTCCATTAGATTTTTTTTTATTATATTTCTTAATTTTAAGTAAAAAAGAGAGGGGGCTAACACAAACAGACATTGATAATGGCTGTAAGACAGTGAAGTTGATGACAAGATGTTGCCCAAACAAAAATAAAAACCCTAGAAAAAAATATGTTTTAGGAATTCTTAAATCCATAGACATGCCTTTCCTTGTTCAACTGTTGGGACCCCCTGTCTTGTGTCAAGCTTGCCTAGTGTGGACCAACTTCCTATATTATGGTAAATAAGAAGACATAAGGCCATCCAGTGAGGGAAGTGTATTACTGCTGTACAATACTGTAGTGTGTTTATTTGCTTGGACGTATAATTTAGTCTTTCCTTGGCATCCTGTACATTATGTATTGTAATTAAACTTGAAGCAGAATCAGTACTAAAATCTTAATAAAGGCAAAGGATACTAATACTAGGTAGTGGACAGGTATCAGTAGATTTTAGACTAATAAATCCTGCACGTTATGTAAAACAGTAGTTACCATTAAAATTCTATCTAAAACAGTAGTTTATTGGCTCTTTTATGTAAATATCCATGTTACTTTCCTACTCTTTAGGCATTGACTGAGGCTGTTCAAGTATGGGGTATCCAACACGTGATCATTGACAACCTGCAGTTTATGTTGGGAACAAGTGAGCAAGGACTTGATAGGTGGTGGGAGCAGGATAAAGCAGTAACAGCCTTCCGACGTTTTGCTACATTGAATAATTGTCACATTACATTAGTTGTGCATCCCAAAAAAGTAAGTACCTATACTATAATTTAATTCTGTGTATCTAGTAAGTTTTGAAAATACTGTACTTTCTTTTCTTCAGTAACTAGAAACAATTTACAGCTGTATATCTAAACGAAGAACTTTCTGCATGTAAAACTTGTGTTGTTAAACATGTAGCAAGTTGATGCTGGGTAGCCTGTTGACAGACAGCCATCATATGGAGATTATGCACTGGCTTTCAAATGTAATTGATATTTAATTTTTACCTATCTATTTTGTTATTTTCATAGATGTTTAGGTCTTTGTTTACCAAAAAAATAGTTTGAAAGGCATGGCCAGGAGAATAACACTAAAGTGTTCAAGGACAACTGTATGGACACAAAATACAATTACCCTGTACTGTACTGTATTATAATGATGCTACCTTTAAAGTTACTGTATTATTAATGTCACTGTTGTATCTTATCCCTGGTCAGGTTCCACAAGGTCAGCCACTGAGTATTGAAAGTGTGTTTGGTGGTGCGAAGGTGACACAAGAAGCTGACAACGTACTTATCTTACAGGTCAAGGAAGGCTTTACCATTAGTCAGTCCAAGAAAACTTTGCAGGTATGCACTGAAAAAAAGTGTGTTATAGTTTCTTTTGTGATTAGATGTACCTGATCCACCCTATTGTATTGTCAATACAGTGAAATCTCCTTTAACTGGAACAATTGGTGCAGAACACTTCCGGGAATGAGAGATTTCCAGGTAATGAGACGACTCTCAAAGCCGGAAAAAAATCCCTCATCTCTGAAATTTTCTCGGAGGTTCCAGAAATTGCCCATTACATCATCTCTTGAACCCAGAAAAATATCTCCCATCCCCATCCCCAGAATTTTCTGGGGTACCAGGAAATTTTTCTCTGAATTTTCCAGAAAATGTGCCCCTCGGAAAATTTCAGTTACGGCTATCGGAGAGTTCCGGGTTTGAGGGATTCCGGCTAACGGAGATATTACTATATAGTAAAGGTTAACAGATAAATAGATTCAGAAATTGACAAAGTGATAGAAGATACTGAGGTAAGTCATAAGTAAGGAAGGAATAACATTTTGATGATGTGAGTGAAACAGGTACTGGGGGGGGGGGGGTATTGATGAAGTAATCAGCTCAGGTGATATGGAATCCATTTTACAGGTCTTTTGTAATGTAAACATTGTATTTTGTTTATTTTTAATTTTTAATGGTGTTATATTTAACCATGTTAAACTTTTAATGTGGAAATATTATAATTGTACATATGTATGTATCAGTAAGCCGCCATGTATGTTTTTATCAATAACCAACCTTGTCTGTCTTTGTTCCTTAAGAGGATATTTTATCTACTATGCAGTTTCAGTCAAAGTCTATAAATCCTTTATGCTATTGCTTTAGTACTTTATTTACTTCTTGATTTATTAAAAACTTTGCCTGTTTGATAAATTACAGGTTGTGAAAAACAGATATGGTGGGCAACTCGGAGAGATGCCATTAAAATTCCATAAGGATTCTCTTACACTGTCATCATGTTTCCGTCAGAAGAGCAAACATAAAACCCCTACCGAGGCAGCTGAGCAAAGAACAAGTAAAGTGTCATCTATGCGTAGGCTTAGAATCAAGGGAATTTCTGGATTTCAAAATTGATCTGCTATGCCCGTGTGATGTTTGGTACGTAGTATCAGTTTATGTATATATTTTATTGTTGGGCAGCAATCACTGCAGCACCAGTTGGTAACTACTGTGAAATCTCAGACCCCCATACTATATTTCATGCTGTTTATACATATCCCATATCAGACTTCACTCTTCCCTACATTTCCGTACTGTGACGAAACTCTTTACAATTTTGTTTTAATTGTTCGTGCAAACAGTGACTTCTTTTATATCATAATTAAGCCAATGTGTAAAGTTATTTATCAGATGTTTGAGGCATTGCTTGCTGCTGGGTCAAAAGTGTGTGGAGACATTGAAGTTAGTAAAATAGTTTGAAAAGGATTTTGTCCTCATAGATGAAGGCCACACTGGCTAGTACAGTATAGTTTATACAATAGTATACTGTATTAGTGGTGTTTATCTAAATAAATAGTTTTGCGTCTGTCCGTGCGAGATGCATAGTTTAGAGTCCCGGGAAAACTTTCCCCTGTACTCTACCTGGAAAAATTCCGGTGATGTGTGTGTTTTTCCAGGGAAGAGAGACTTCATATAAATACAGTACCTGGAAATCTCTCATTCCTGGAAATGCTCTGCACCAAATTATTCCTGCTAATGGGGATTCACTAATATGAAAGAAAAAGAAATAAGATACAAGATAATAAATGAAACCCACAGAAAACTATACAAAGATAAGAGAAAATTTGTTCTCACCCACATTCACTGAACATCTCCTTATGTGGTGACAGGCACAGTAGGTGTGAAAAACATGAAGATCAATTAAATTTTTAATTAAACTTTGGGGGAATCTTCTTGACGCATTTTGCCTAAGAAGTAGTCCAGAGTGTTTACGTGTAGTTTCTTATAGGAAAATTAGCTTCTCTTTTCACAATTTCACAGATCACAAGGGTTTTTAGGAACACCATATGTGATAAACAAGGACCACCTGTAACACTAATTGTTTCTGAGATATACTGTACACAGTATTCCAAACTTTCTACCTTTTTGAAAAGATTTTGTATCCAGATTTCATGTAAATTAGTTTATTATTCCTTTAAGACATTTCATACTCTGCTGAGATTATTATTATTTATTTATTTATCTTTTTTCAGAATTCTCAGTCTTCTCCATGTAATTAAATTTTTTTTTGGAGAAGTATTGCCATAAGGAGAATGAAAAATACTTGTATAATTCATAATAATCAGACAAATGTAATATTTCCCTTCCTCCAACAACTTGTGTCATGATTTTCAATAGTGTACAGTGAAAGGCCATATCATTCAATACAATTAATATTCAGATGGCACAAACTTGCCTTTGTGCAGTGAACCATGAATTAAAGCAGTACTTTTCATGATCATTTATGAATTTCAGGCCACAATTCTTCTTATTATCCAGTGAACAGTAGTTGTAGATCTGTAACTTCAGCTTCACATGGAAACAAAGTTTATATACTCCAGATGTTTGCCAACAACTGCCAGCCACTCCCAGGAATCATTTGTAGAAGTATATTGTACATCGAGGATATTTTTTTTTTCTCCCCACTCACCACCATGAGCACTGTCCTGCGATAAAATTCACCAATAATGAAAAACTTTATGAGCACAAACCCCTGGGAGATGTTCACGGAATCAGAGCAAGACAGAATAACACGTTGGCAATAATTCAACCTATTGTACCAAATAAACACCTTAAATGTACAAATGATCACAAATATTAAACCTATAGTACCATAGGAACACTTGGAATGTACAAACGCTCAAACCATCCTCTGGGCAACACGTGAATTTTCACATGCGTGCTCTATATGAACTACCCCATTAAACGTCATTAATTTCTAAGCCGTGCGGATCTGTATGTACGGGGGGAAAAATGCTCGGGTCTGTACGCGCAGAAAAAAAGGCATGTGTGAAGGTGGCTTTACATCAGAATATGAGAGCTGTGGCTTTGTATCGTAACTTCATTTGCGAATATTAAATAGGGTTGTTAAAATAACAATTGTGGAGTTGTGAATAGCTAGGTATTCCTGTACATAGCTAGTCTTCAAGTTTACATGAGCAAAATCAGACACCCACATCAGTCTCAACTCTCAGTTTGGGCAAATTAAGTGTTCTATACTGTACTTCATAAGTGTATTATTGTACATAGGGTAATGTACTTTGTTCAGGGAAGATTGGTACTGTACTGTAGTAGTTTGTCATTTATGTTATAGTACATCTACTTTTAAACAGTGTTTTCCTGTATTTACACAGAGAAGACTGAGGATTCAAGAAAATTGTAAATTAGAAATTAAGAGTTCTGCTCGGCTTTGAAACTACTGTAGTTCAACACATTCTTTCAGAATCAAGGTAAGAGTTTGACCACATACAGGTTTAGTGCAAAGGTATTACCCAGTATTTGGAAACAGATTTCAGATTTCTAATTAAAAAAATGTTTTACATCACATTTCATTGTGCCAATTTTGTTTCTGTTGAAGTTTTGAATGAGAATTTACCAGTTGGTCTATAAGTAAACAATTTCATTCTCATAAGGTGATGCTACTTCAGGGTGTCAGAAAGATAAAAATTGTGTCCCCATAAAATTCATGGATTTCTGCATAGATTGTACATACTGTAATTGCAGAAGGCTCCATGGTATGTTTCAAATGTTTTATATTTTCATACAGTAAAAAATAAAGTTGAAACAATATTTGAATTACTCTTAACCTGATAATATACACACAGATTTGTTTTAATCAGTGACCAATAGCTACAGTATTGTACTGTTGTGATTATGATACCTGGGATTATCTAGTAACAATAGGAATTAAACTATACAAGAAATAGATATAAAATGAACATATTTTATTTTTATAAAATTATCTACATTGCTTTTTCAATTAACTACAGCTCTTATTAAATACTCCTAAAGCATTTAAATTATAATAATATACAGGATGTACCACAAAGTCATGTCATAACTTCAAGGGCTGATTCCTTTGGCTCATTACTAGTCAGAAATTTAATATGAACTTTGGTCTGATTCCCAATGGTTATGGAGGTATGGGGTGAACATGTAAAATCGCATGTGAGAGGTGTGTGCAAGCTAAAGGTGGCCACTATGAATAATTAATACAGTGAACATGACCTTGGTAAATTGTAACCACAGTGTAAACCCAACAAGCCTTAAATGTCAAAACACCTTTTTTTCAATTCCCTTGATGTAGTACATACATCTCCCCATAGTATAGCTCCATAGCCATTGGGAATTGGACCAATGTTCATATTACATTTCTGACTGGTAATGACCCCAGGAATTGGCCCATGAAGTTATAACATAATGTTGTGACACCCTGTATACTTACCATAGACACATTATGATGGTGCAAAAATTAATTTCTTATTACTTGCTACAAACAAGATGGTTGCATCATACTGATACTTTATTATTTTGTGTCAGAAGTTTGACTAGCTGTCACCCTGGTGTCTTCTGGAACAGTGACAGGAACCCCAAGACTGGCCTCAGTCTCAGCAATCCACTGCAATGTTTCTGCCTTTTCTCTTAGGAAGGGTTCCTTCTGAAGCTCTAGGGTTTTCTGGTATTCTGCAAGCCGCTTCTTTTTCAATGCCATCCCGTGCATTCGAACGAGATTTTTCAAGGATGCTTTTCGCGTTATCCATCGGTAGTATCTGAAATGAAATTAAACGTTCATAAACCAAAATATTCATAATTACTAAGCAACACATAATGCATGAATTAAAATTCAAAGGCATTACATGTACTAAATTGAAATTAAAAAAAAAATTTTAATCTGCCTCAACTTAAAGATAGAGAAATTAAAAACTTAAATATTTAAGTTTGTCTCAACAGTGTTTCAAAGTAGTGCAGCAGAGTTCCTCAGAGCTAGGGGAATAAATATAACCTTGATAAACACAACTGACGAAGCTCAATATAATTTTTGTGTCTTGAGCAACTACAGTATTACAATTCCTAGGTTGAGCGATTGTTGGTTATTTAGTGATTCATGCTGTTACATCTGCTAATTCACGACTACAGTAACTTCTTTATTTTTTAGGTTTAATGCAATATACTGTATTTTTTCATGGGATAACTGGAATATCCCAATATATAAAGCATCGAGAACTATTAAGCAACCAATCAACTTTTATAAATGGTAATACCTGTAGTTGTTAAAGAAGCCAAAAGGTGATCAAGCTATGTGCATCAGTGTAAAGGAAGAGAAGCTAGTGATGTCTATGGATGAGCTTTAAACCCTGCAAACCAGGTATGTGTTCAAAATAGCACTTGTGTTATTCCTCTCTCCCAACTTGAGAAAATTTTAGGAAGAATATATTACAGGATTTTTAAAATAAGTAGTCAAAATGAGACGGTTTAATAGTACTGTACAGTAAATAATATAATTTTATATTTATAAAAGATGGATTGATGCTGACATCCTATATACTTACAGAGTCCATTACCAAGCAGCGGACCTTACTGCACCCATTACTGGGCAGCTAACCTTACTACACCCATTACCAGACAGCTGACCTTACTGCACCCATCATGCCACTAGAAAGGTGGGGGCTGATTTTATCATTCTCCAACTTCAAGAAAAATTGCCCAACTCCACCATCTGAGGTGCATAACCTAATTGATTCCATTTGAATGACTGGCTAAATCAACACTTAGCCACATATTGTATGAATTAGTAAAGTTCCACTGTACAGGATTTACCATTAAAATAAGAACAATAATTAAATGTAGGAGGAATACCTTGGTGGTGGTCTGTATAAGATGTTCAGTTCTTCAATGAGCCACTCAAAACGCTTGTAATCATTATGTCTCAAGAACTTCAAAAGTTTCTTCCTTCGATCTATTAGTTCTAGAAGTCTAACCCGCTCAAAGGTATTTTTTTTGCATCGGAATGTGGCTTGCTGCAAATTACGGATTTTCACAGTTAACATGGAAACTGCGAAAGAAAATGAAAAATAGTTTCATTATTTCAGTTCCTTCACCCTATGAAAAAATTTGGAAGAATGGGAGATGACTAAAAAACACACAGGAGACACAGTATATGGAGAGTTATACAGTAAGTATCCTGGTGATTGATTCTGATTATACCGTAAGTAAGTTAAATAGACAAGTAGGTGTGAAGTTTGTCTTAAAAGCTCTTTACAAACAGGATGAACAGTGGCTAGAATCAACAGCAACACACACACACACTCTATCATTTGCTGTCACTCAGTCTTCTTAGCTGACTGACTAGATGTTTTCTGTTATGATGTTCACTTTCTACAAGAGGGCCTTAAAACACTCACCTGGTGTACCCCCCATCAATTCATATAATACCCTAGTAAGACTGAACCATTAGTAGAGTTTATAGTGTGTGTGTGTGTGTGTTTTTGTAGGTGCTTAACATAATAAATGTGGGTCATGTACATGGACAAATTCAGTAATAATTAAAAAACAAACTGGAACAGGAAATAAAAATAAACCAGCTGAGGACTGTATGAATATATCCTCAATTTTCTAACAACACAAATTACAACTGACCTCCCTCTTATTTTCACTCCTCTTCCGGGTATATGAGGCGCTCCAGGTGAGAACAAGACATGTGATAAAGTGGATTGAAGATGTGTTTATTATACCATTATATCTTCAAAATTCCCTCTAAAATTTAACTGCACTTTCTGGTGTTTCTTACTTCTGTTTCCTGCTCAGAGTGCCTCATATAGTACAGGACAGAGTGTGTGTCAAGGTGCATACACTGGGTGACACTAAGCCAGAAACAACCATACATACTTATCTTACGATCCACAACTTGCATATTCAGTAAAACTGAATCATTATCCTAAATGAAAATGAAGAACTTGTAAATACCTGTACAGAGCATTTGAGATCACAAAAAAATACTAACTTTTCACCTCCATTGAGCTTGTGTCATACTGGTGTCGCTGAATCCTTCTCATTGTTTCGTATTTCTTGATCTTTACAAACTCCTTATGAGAACTGAACTTCAAGGACAAGAGTTGCTTTGTCACATCATCAACCCTGTCAAAAAGTCATTCCAATTAGCTACACATGAAAGATCATGTTCACACAAAATACACAAAGTAGGCTGATCAGAACACCACCTGCCTACTACTGTGCCTCTACTCACTGCTCAGTTTTACATCTGGCGAATCCAGGAATCAAACATTTCAATGAAGAGGAGTGGTGCAAGACAAGAGTAAACAGTGGCAGGATATGACTGGAACATAATACAGGCTGTCTCCGATTTATGTAAGGGTAAGGGTTCCATTACTGTAAGCCTTTCGTAAATCAGATCACATTTTCCCATAGATTCTCATTATAAAAGCAGCAATATGGTACATTCTCACAAAAAAAATAATAAACAAGTTTTAAAATGCTAAAAACTTCTTTTTTTTTACCTTTTTTTGTACATACTGTAATGATTATAAGCCAATGGCCAAATATTATTTTATTTCACTATTCTGTTACAGTATAGACTATTACAGGTAGCTTTAATATTCTGTAAATACAGTACTGTATATGTATACTGGACTACATTAAAAATTTAATACTGTGCAAAACACAAAAGCTCTGGTATAATTAGTTCTCAGATTTCAGGAGAAATATTCTTATAATAGTCATTACTGTATCTCCTCTTTTGTGTGAACCTTAGTGATCCATAACACGAGTACAGTACAGTTCTACACTTACTCATCAAGCACACTCTTGGTTGGCAGAGTGCAGAGGCGAGGCAATGTCTCATCTGGATCCTTGTGAGGTTCCAAGTCGCCAGACTTCTCGGGCTTCCACGATGGCACATACTCAGGTCGACGCCAAACAATACCATGTTCAGTCAGCTCCAACCTCATGGCATAACCACGCTTTTGTTCACAGCCTAAAATATGAACAAAATATTTTTAATGTGTAAATTAATTACTGCACTGGGAAGATACAGACTTTTCATTGTACAATTATGTGAGCTTGTAATATATTTGTTACTTTTATTGCCCATTAACTGTCTCTTAACTTGGAAAATTCAAAGCAATACTGTATTACAATTCTTCACAACAATGACAACAATTGGTTTAATGTCAAACAATTCTGGTAAAAAGAACATGATAAATATGGAAAATATGTATTGCCAAGTCACGTATAATAATTAAAATGGTCTTGAAAAAAAAAGACCTCAGCTTTTTAAAATAAAGACATTCTATTCAAAATGCACACAGCTTCATGTAGACAGTGTGCCCACAACCATTAATGCTCACATTAACACATACATTATTACCATAACATAAACCTTAGCAATGTCAAAATAACAGCAAAATGTTTTAAAAAAATTCTGAACATAGCTAAGAAGCTTTCCTGATTTCTCTGGGAAATAAGGGTAAAAATTACAGAGAAGGTTGCCACAACACAGTAGTATTATTGTTATACAGTGCCAAATATCTTTGATTGAGAGGTAATTACCCTACTTGTTCAGTGGCAATTACCTTGCTTGTTCAGTAGGTAGGGCTAGATTCTATATTATTGTGTTCCAGTATGTAATCATTGTTTAATATGTATTATATATTAATGTGTAATATGGATGCATTAAATAAATCAATTTAATGATGTGTAGAAGTTAGGTAAAATAGCATTGTAATTAATGACTTGGCATCAGCACTGTGTGGGTTACTGCACCACCAACTCAGCTGGGCAGAGACAGAAGAGCCTGGCTGGTGTGAGGGTGTGATTCAAATGTGGCACAGTTAGTCTGGTAAGGCTGAGGTAAGGGTTTAGGTTAATTTAGACTAGTTTCATGTAGTATTTCATTTGTTTCTTTACTTGTCATTGTAAATATGTTTTCTAATTTTATTATAATAAGTAATGCAGTGTATGATTCCTCCTCAATATCATACCCATATTTTGAGTTATCCTGAGACTTATTGTTAAGAACCTGGTGGAGATAAATAATGTGTCATTACTGTATACAGTAGTGTTTACCCAGCTGATTTTTGTAACCACTAGCGGCAGGGGTTTGTTTCTCTTATGCTGTCACGATCAAGCCTCATCTCTTACTTGACAAGTGGCAAAATTTTGATAAAGAGGAAGGATGACAAAACAATTATGTTTTAGTTTCACATTACAGTACACATGTGGGGTTCCCAGTAGCGTTGTCATCCTGGTCTTTCTCACACACATGAACATTTAGTAAATATTATTATAGTTATTAATACTGTATTATCATTATTAGGTAATACTCAATGAGAGTGGTCAGACCTTAGCAGTTACCTGACAAAATTTCTCCATTGGTGGTAAAAGTTTTCTTACCTAAGAAATAAAAAAAAATACACAAGAAATACATTTTATTATGTTGGGCAGAGGAAGATGGTCAAATACTGTATGACCTTGCCACCAGCACCATATTTAGACCAAAGCATTGGTTCTTTTTACAGAAAGGAATTCTCTTCTATTCACTGGCTGGGGAGCATTCCATTGTTTGGTGTTTGTGGTCTATACTGTAGAAAATTTCCTTGAAGTGGCTCCTTCCCAAGCATCTCATATCTAAAGTAGGGAATACTAGAGCAGATGGCTAACACCAGGAGGAGTTGTTTGATTTTGTTCATTTTATCCACAGATGTATTCCTTTTTCATATTTTTAGTTCTCTATCTACGATCATAAATCACCTGTAACGGGAAGGGAATGAAGGATAAAGGATATTACGGGGTAAAACATGGTGAAAAATTATCATGTAACACTAAAGTGAGGCCTCTATGTGCTTTGTATGCAAAGAAATTAATTATTTACCATAAACATTCAACCAAAAAATCTGTTCTGTCGGCGAGCGTTGTCATCTCTCTGTTTGTTTACGCTCGGACTGAGCGGGTTGCTCAGTCTGAGCATATTCTCACGTCCACAAAAATAAATTAAATTACACCAAGCCACTTCAGGAAAGGGTTAATTTATAGTAATGCACCATTCTTTATGGGGGGTATTAGAAATGTGTAAAAAAAACAGAAAATCGCCCAAAATCAGGGGTGGTCCAGGGGGGCTGTTAGGTTAGATAGAACGGTGCCCTAATATAGAGACACAAGAAAGTTACTTTTATTGGTATCAGATATCAAGATACCCAGTAAGTACTTTTTGTTTATAATGGCAGGGGGTCTGCCCCCCAGCTAAGAAGTTATTTAAGGTTAGGAAAGTTTTTTTGGTTGGTTAGGTCAGGTTTTATTAGATTCTGTGCAGTCATATAATTTTTATTATCCATCCAAAGAACGTGTGGAAAAAATTAACAAAATCGAACAATGCGTTCTGATGTTTGCCATCTGCTTTAGGATTACCCTCAAGTGTTAGCGAATATCTATCTATTTATTCACTTCTGACCTGTGAGAGGCTGGAGTGCTCTGGTGAGGAAAGCTGGTGATGCTGCAGTCCTGAGGACGTCACCACCCACAATGGCCCTCACACCACCACACACTACCCTCAACAGTCGTCCAGCCATCACCAACACAGCTGTCTCACCAAGGCAGCTGTCTCCCAACACAGTGGCCTCACGCCCATCAGCTGTAAAATAATCACACAACACGATAGATATATGAAGCTGCTCAAGCAGACGTCTTCTGGTATCCTCACGTCTACCTTTAAAATGTTTATCATTTCCAATATTACAAAATAAATAAACTGTAAGTGCTTTTATTCTTCTTCATACCGACTCGTGTTCTTTGTTAGATCTTATTTGTTAACTTTTAAGGTATGTAATGACTGCCACACCGGTAACAACACTGGTGTGGCTACTGGATTTCATCTTCAAATCCGGATTCACATAAGATAATAGTTTCTTCTTTACAATCTGGGTATACTATTTATCTTGCTTCAGTAAACACAAGCTCCCCTAAATTTTTTCGTATTTATTCAGTAAAGTTGTCAGTTCACAATTGGAGAAGCATATTTATAAACTACGCAGTAATATAATTTCTTCAAGAGTATTAGTGAAAGTTAATTTGATAGAATTCGACAAGCTGCGACTGGACTACCCGAGGCGGCCTGTGGGGACCAATAAAAACATCCGGGTTGTAGAATATCCTTCAACTTTTTGCTCCAAATATCGGATTACAAGTAGCGGTAGGTGCTTTTCGTTATTGTTGATGGATTATAAGTATATTAAGCTTATAATAAAATGTAAATTGCTAGCTGTCACTTACATTCAGGGACAGGTCCTACTATAGCGTGCGATCTACAAGATATTTAGGTAAAAGTTTAGATTAGGTTAGGTTAGACCAGGTTAGGTTAGACCAGGTTAGGTTAGACTAAAGATATCTTTGTAAATCGCACGCTATAGTAGCTCCCAGGAACGTATCCAGGAATATCGAAGGAAGGAGGGAGGGTAGACCAAAAAGTTATGGGATGGGGGAACAGCGAGTACAGGGGGGGGCGCTGTAAGCCTCTAGATTTCTATTTTTAATTGACCAATATTATGAGCATTTTCAAGCCATGTGCACTTGATCTTAAGGGGTATTCTGAAGTTAATAGTCATTACTTTTTACTTTGCAAAAACGCCGAGTACAATACTGCATTAAAGAAAAAAATATTGGAATTTCCGACGAATGTGGGGTCTAGGTCCCGCTCGGACCCGCTGTATCAGCTTCTGGCATTTTACGTTAGCCTATGGACTATTCCCTCCCGTCTCACACCAGTAGAAACCACTATACTTATGTAGAAATCACACATAGGGACATATCCCTATACTGATAGATCAGTACTCCCATGAGAAACTCACAGGATGTGCTCCAGTCACTATATTAAAGAATAATAGCTTTATTAAATTAAAACTATCTCTGAAACCACGTAGATGTTTGGTGGTATAACCTATTTTGCATATAAATTGTGAAATATATCACGTCTGTCTTATTTTGTAGCGGTAGATATCCTTAATCCTTGCAAAGTTTTTTTTTGTTAGATATTCTGGGAACAGTCCATTGAAAATCCTGTAAACATGATTCACTCTCAGTTGCTTCACTCTATCCACCACACTTAGCATATTCAGTGATTGAAGAACTTGCGTTCATGTCAAGAATGAACCTCACCGCCTTGTTTTCTATATTTTGGAGCTTGGATGTAAGCTTCTGTGTTAGGGCAGAGTACCATGAAGAGCAGGAGTACTCCAAATGACACTGTATGAGCGCCATGCAAAGGGCTCTACTGGTATTAGCTGAGAGGAGCATTTATATAGATACATTTATTTTGGCATTACATTTTTTACTATATTATCCACGATAAATTCATCAGATAGACAACAGTCAAGAGTTAAAGTCCAGGGTATTTCACTGAGGTTATTGTTGAGATGGGTTCAATTCCACATAGCACAATGAATCCATATACCCTTTTGAATCTCCTTTTTGATCCAAAAAAATTGATTCAGTCTTTCCAAGATGTAGGGATAATTTGTTTTTTATGAGCCACTGTTTGCCTGACTCCAGGTCAGATGATAAATCGTTAGCTCTATCATTTGGATGTTTCCCTAAACACTAAAAGAGCACTGTCATTAGCATACAGCCAAAGTTTAAAATTAACAATAACGCGCATGTCGTTTACATAGCACAGGAAGATCAAAGACCCTAGGAAATTCCCCTGTGGAACTCCACAGGCTATTGTCATGAATGTTGACTCGGTGTTATTTGCAACAACAATCTGTTTGATATTACTTTGATACGATTTAAGCCAGTCAGCAGACCCAATGCCAAGAACCTGCAATTTTTCAAATAGTATATCAAGATGGCTGTATCGAAGGTTTTTTGCAAGTCTAGCGTTACCATGCCTGAGTAATTTCCTTGAGCTGTTTGGGATCTGATATAGTGGGTGAGATGGATCTGACATTATACTCTCAGAGATCTCTTTCCACCCGAATATACACTACTCTTTCTAGAATTTTAGATATAATGCTCAGTATATATACTGACTGACCTGGAATTAACTACACCAGACCTGTAGCCTTTCATGTAGATTGGTGTTACTCTAGCAAACGTTTACTCATCTGGTACAGTATTGGTGCTAATGGAGAGATTAATATAGTGGCACCGTCTGGCTGGAATGCTATCAATATCTGTGCTCTTGGGGTCCAGCCGTTCTTGGATCGTGTACACTCAAAACGTTGTTGATATAATTATCTCACTCATACTGTACACGTACCGTCGCGCGCATCCTACCTTCACTGTTTAAAATGTCCTCGGGTATTTTAACCCGTGGGAGATAAAATATAGATATCTTTGGATAGTTAGAAAGGGAGATAGAGGGTCCTGTTCCCTGCACCGTGTGAAAATGTCTCGGAAAAACTGTGCATAGAGACGTGAACGTGTTTGACCTATAGATGCTTATCACAGTCCGGATATCCTGACTACTTCCGGGGGATTTGGCCGTTTGTTGATACGGAGTTCATTTCTCTATGTAGACAAATGCAATATTCAATCCTCATAAATCATGTTTTTTTTTAGATAATTATTATTATTATTATTATTATTATTATTATTATTATTATTATTATTATTATTATTATTATTATCATTATCATTATTATTGTACAAATAACTCTTCGTTCAAAATGTGAATGTTGGATGCTATTTTGATCAACTTGTTCATTTCCTGGCGTAAGTGGGAGCTTAACACGTTCTTATTTTTTCCAGCTGGTTTGTGTGCTATTGTCTGAGGATCCGGGTCAATGTCACAGAGCTAGAGGAAGCGTAAGTACCATCACTGTTGACTGTTCCCTGGGTCTATCTGTACACCTGAGGTCCACCTGAACATCCCCCCCCCCACTCTCTCATATACTCAGACACATTAGATTGACACGAGATAAGCCTCTGCACCTGTACGATACATCCTAATCTTCGTCTGCCTCTCTGACGCCACTGGACGCCACAGCAGGTTGGCTAATACCCTTATAACACGTACAGTAGTTTGTAACCGACGTTGACATCTTGACCTACGGTAGGTCACCTACCCAGTGCTTGTCTAGTCTTCTCTCTTTGGTCAACACACTGTTTCATATGTCCACAATATACAGTGGGAAGTTGTGTTGTCTCGGTGGACGGAACTAAAGTCCACAGGAAAAAAGTCACATGACTTGTACACTTTGACAACACAACACTATATATATATATATATATATATATATATATATATATATACATATGAGATGGCATTGCACGTAGGTTAGGTTAAGTTAGGTTAGGTTTTCCGTGCCTTTTTGTGACTTTTTTTCTTGTGACTTTTTTCCTGGGTTCGTTGTCTCAGCTTAGTGTGTGAATGTGTGGTGAACAGCTTAAACATGTGACCTCTGGTCTTGTCATGCTGTGTGTTCCGGTTAGTGTTTTGCTGGCGTATTCCATATATCCTGGTAAAGGTCTTACTGATGTATCCTGCAGAAGATCTCCTACATATGTTTTTGTATACTGTAGCTACAGGATCTTCACCTTCCTCAGACGGTCTTCATAATTCATGTTGTTCAGTCCAGGTGTCAATATGGTCGACTTGTGAACATTGTTGATGGTGTGGATGTTTATCACCTTCTGGGAGGCCATATTACACTGGCCTTATAAATATGATCACAAGTGTTAAAAGAGAATCTCAGAATGAACCGAAATGTTTTGTTTTGTTTATACAATAATTCAGGAGATACAACAGTGGCGGTGTGTGGGCAAAACACCCAGAGATGGGCCGCTGTTAGGGGTTAATTACGCTCACCTGGGTAATTTGACATTTTTCTGGTGTAATTCAGTTGATTATATGATTATAAAAAAAAATTAATCCAATCTAATTTTCCGCCAAGTTGGTTCCTAGTTTTCTCGCTTCATGTTTGCATGCGCCAGGTGCTGTAATGACCTGAGTTGTCGACGGCCAGGAAACTAAATAAAACACCAAGCGCCGCCATCTGCCATTCATGAGTCAGTCAGGGTTATGGAAAAATACAGTTAACAAGCGTAAGAAAAAAACTGAGGGGTAATTAGTATTGTCGTCACGTCTGTTTATGAGTAACTACCAAGTGGCTAACACGACGATCAGTGGCGAAGAGGTTAACGTAAAACTAACTGAGAACTCCTGGTCTTAGTTAACTTAGGGCTGTTTCTAGTCCTGATAATACTAAATACTGTAATGTCGGAAGATTTTCGTATCTACAACAAAGACCTAAACTTCAGGAGACTCACAGACACATTTATTATTTATGTATAAAATGACAGAGTGTCGTCTCTTAACGTACTTCCTCAAAGGTGAGGTGCTTCTCCGTTTGGAGTATTATCACCTCGTCTCGTCCCCATGATATGCTAGACACTGTCAGCTGACTGAAAATGTCCAGACGAAAGCCACCAGACAGATACCTGCACAACGGCACCTCAGTTACCAAAAGAGACTGGAACGCCTGCAGTTGCCTAGCTAATACTATAGGCGGGCATGGGGGTGACTTAATAGAAGTATATAAACACCTCAGTCGAGCGTTCATACCTGTAACTGGCGGACGTCTGCCCCACTGGGGATCACAGCTTAGGGTAAAGAAGCTACAAGTTCAGAAAACTGTCAGTGTAAATATTTTTGCAGTGGAAATTGTGAATCTTTGGAACAACCTGCCAGAGTGTTAGGCGGCACAGGTACAGTACATGCCCAGTACCTGCCACTGGTGTATAACAGACACGTGATCGATCACCCAAGCGGCTGAAAAAGGCAAATCAGTGGCCAGGAGGATAAAGTACAGCAAAGAGTGTATTTGCTAAAAAGTTCATCACAGTCATGACTCATACACAGTAACGAGTGATACGTAAGGGACGAGGACCACGTGACAATGGAGGCGGGACGTCTACTACATATAGCCTGTACATGTGTGTACTGCAGGCCACAATGTCTAGGGCACTCGCGAAGGAAAGAGACGTACAGTAGGACACAGCCAACACCAGGGATCACAAATACTATTACTACCACCACCGTCACCACCCTGGTACTGCCACCACAACTAGTCATTGACACGACCACCACCACAACTAGTCACTGACACTCTACCACCGTCACCACCCTGGTACTGCCACCACAACTAGTCATTGACACGACTACCACCACAACTAGTCACTGACGACTACACCGTCACCACCCTGGTACTGCCACCACAACTAGTCACTGACGACTACCACCACAACTAGTCACTGACACTACCACCACCGTCACCACCTGGTACTGCCACCACAACTAGTCACTGACACGACTACCACCGTCACCACCCTGTACTGCCACCACAACTAGTCATTGACACGACTACCACCACAACTAGTCACTGACACTACCACGTCCGACCAACTAGTCATGACTACCAAATAGTACGCTACCACCACCGTCACCACCTGGTACTGCACTTCGGCAGAACAATACTGTTTCAAGAAGACCAGAAGGAGTAAAGGTCACCCAGGTCACAAGAGGCGAGGAAGAGGGCTAAGAAATATGAGGGAAGATCACGACAAGCCATCGTAAATAATACCACAGCACAAGTTGAGAAGCTCCAGAGCTAGAAAGGCCAAGTTTTTCACACAAGATCAGGTTAGAAGACTTGCTTTATTGTCGGAGAATCTCACCCCTGGTGGCGGACACCCAGCTGCCATGGACCTTCAACTCCCTAGGAGCAGAGTCCACGGGTCCTCGTCTTCCTCTATGTTTGAAATGTTGTCCAGATTTGTCTCCAAGACTGAAGGATTTGTCTACGCTTCCTGGTCGTCCCAGACGGTCACAGTGGCGAGTAATCACGGTCTTCCTGATACTACTGCTGAAGGAAGCTGGGTGGGGGGGTTGCCCAGTGACTCATCTTCATCCTCCAGTTTTCAAATTTCTCCTGGGAAACGACAGAGTTTGAAACCTCCGCCCCTCACCAAGCTTCTCCAGACACCAGTTATTCCTGGAATTCGGTTCAGGATCCTTCATCCAGGACCTCAATCCTACTCTCTTCCTGACCAGTCGGTAGTGACACTGGGGGCGAACAGTCCCTTTCCTCGGAGCCCCACACGCCTTCTACTCGCAGCCTTCCACTTTCCTGCCGCAGTCGTCAGAAGGGGGCGACGCATACACTGCAGAGGCCAGGAAGACCTCCCCTCATCCAGACGACAGAAGAACCGAGTGTATTCTTACCAGTTACCGCCACAACAAGACCCACAGTTGGAGGCCAGAAGACTGAAAGCTGTGCGGGCACACTACAGCAGGCAGCAAGATAAGTGTTGTAACGCTTGGCTGCAGGAAGAGATCCAGAAGGTTACGGATGGGGTAGCAAGAAACTCAACCAAGAGAAGAACGCATTCAGGGAACACATAGACACATTACACAAAAACTAATACAAACAGTTACCAACAACTAGTGATACTTACTCAGAGTTTTTATTGACTGATGTAACACCTAGCAGTGTGTTTCTCCATAACAATAAGTTTATTGTTTTATATGTTAAAATGTTGACAATAAAGATCTCAGTGTAAGTAAGAAGTGTTCAGTATTAACTTTGAAGTGTTTTGTTAAGATAATGTTCATGTTAGGTGACACAGGTATTACTTATGCATCTTTAGCTACCGTATTAGAAATATTTATTTTATGAAGAGATAAGTTCAGTAGAGTTTACCTTAATAGTGTCAGGTTTGACACATGATGCACCTGTGACAGGTGTGGTAATAGTCATCAAGGGATTGACATGATACACCTGTGACAGGTGTAGGTAATGATGTAGGATTTGACACATGATGCACCTATGACAGGTGTAGAACCAATATCATCAGGATGACACATGATACCTGTGACAGGTGTATAGGTAATGTAGTCAGGTTGACACATGATACACCTGTGACAGGTGTAGGTAATAATGTCGGAACGATAAATGATACACCTGTGACAGGTGTCGTAATAGTGTCAGGTTGATAAATGATACACCTATGTGACAGGTGTCGTAAATAGTGTCAAGGTTGACACGGGTGTTATCGTAGTAAATGATAAAATTATTTTTGCAAATAAAGTTCGAGACAAAACCTAAATATAAATAACCATGAAACTTTTGGTGACCATATTTTACTGCATTAATGATAAATAATAATAAATAATAATAATAATTATAATAATTATAATAATAATAATAATAATAATAATGAGGTGCATTTGGCATGGATAATATAATGTGTGGGTTGAGAGCACCACGAAGCAATAGCACTGTGTACAGCTGGTCACATGACCAACACCGGTGAAGGAAGACGACTTTATGGTCCATTAAAGTAAAGTATAAAAAAGAAAAAGAACAAACAAACTCATACATATTAAAGAGTTAAGTGAACTACATCAGTGTAACACCTAACCAAAATGACTTAGTAATACAGTACCTAACATAACGTACTAATTAATGCACACCTTAACTTGCCACTTACAAAGGACAAATAATGACTGGTTAGATGCAGTAGCTGTTACACACAGCAGCTGTTAGCTAAACACAACAGCTGTTAGCTACTACAGTAGCTGTTAGCTAAACACAGTAGCTGTTAACTAAACACAACAGCTGTTAACTAAACACAGTAGCTGTTAACTAAACAGCAGCTGTTAGCTAAACACAACAGCTGTTAACTAAACAGCAGCTGTTCTAAACACAACAGCTGTTAACTAAACACAACAGCTGTTAACTAAACAGCAGCTGTTAACTAAACAGCAGCTGTTAGCTAAACACAACAGCTGTTAACTAAACAGCAGCTGTTAACTAAACACAACAGCTGTTAACTAAACACAACAGCTGTTAACTAAACACAGTAGCTGTTAACTAAACAGCAGCTGTTAGCTAAACACAACAGCTGTTAACTAAACAGCAGCTGTTAACTAAACACAGTAGCTGTTAACTAAACACAACAGCTGTTAACTAAACAGCAGCTGTTAACTAAACAGCAGCTGTTAGCTAAACACAACAGCTGTTAACTAAACAGCAGCTGTTAACTAAACACAACAGCTGTTAACTAAACACAACAGCTGTTAACTAAACACAGTAGCTGTTAACTAAACAGCAGCTGTTAGCTAAACACAACAGCTGTTAACTAAACAGCAGCTGTTAACTAAACACAGTAGCTGTTAACTAAACACAGCAGCTGTTAACTAAACACAGTAGCTGTTAACTAAACAGCAGCTGTTAGCTAAACAACATCTGTTAGCTAAACACAGCAGCTGTTAACTAAACACAGTAGCTGTTAACTAAACACAACAGCTGTTAACTAAACACAACAGCTGTTAACTAAACAGCAGCTGTTAACTAAACACAGTAGCTGTTAACTAAACACAGCAGCTGTTAACTAAACACAGTAGCTGTTAACTAAACAGCAGCTGTTAACTAAACACAGCAGCTGTTAACTAAACACAGCAGCTGTTAACTAAACACAGCAGCTGTTAACTAAACACAGCAGCTGTTAACTAAACAGCAGCTGTTAACTAAACACAGTAGCTGTTAGCTAAACACAGCAGCTGTTAACTGAACACAACAGCTGTTAACTAAACACAGCAGCTGTTAACTAAACACAGCAGCTGTTAACCTACTAATTTTGTTTGAATTTTAGTCAAAATATATGGAATCGGATGGTGACAATAGGAAGAAGAAAATACAATAATTCCGGCCAAGTTTTTCCTCCTTCAAACTCATAAACTGCAAATGCAAATATGATTACAGTGCATTATATTCAGGTACTATACAGGTTCGCCCCGAGTGTGAGCTCTTTCAAGACCAGACTTGACCAGCACTGGAGCAGGTTCAGATACATTCAGGAGCCGGTACATGCCCAGTACTTGCCAACAGTGCGTAACAGAGACGTGACCGATCGTCCAAGCGGGTAACGAGCCGATCAGTGGTGAAGAGGATAAAAGTAAAGTCCTACTCAGCCAGTCAGTATACTATAGGGATGAAAACTGCTGGATAAGTTATTTTATCCATCTTACATTCTCTATGATTCTGAAGTGGTTTATTAATGGCTTCTCAATAATTATTATACATAAATGGGTTATCAAAGTGAGGTTTAATGGGGTTTGGTTCCTTTTACGTAAAAAGAATAAAAATATGTTATAAATTATAGGAAGATCCCTCTATCAGGCACTGTACAACCCATGAAGCTTGGATATGCGTTACGTTGTGGGGGAGTGTGGGGGGCTCAACTGCCCTACCTCAGTACAGTAGCTGTAAAGTGGATAGTCGCTAAACACGCAAGTAATAGACTGGCTGCGTTCTTGACCAGAGTGAGGTATGAGCGACCTCACTCCACAATACTTCATTTCCTGTTTCTACTCCCTATTAGTTATTTTTCTGGTGAGGAAAGATTTGAAGCATCCATTCTCATTAAATTCATCTCTTGCCAACAACTCTGCATTGTCTCCGTTACCTGCGGGGAAATGTGCCACCGAGAGAGAGAGAGAGAGAGAGAGAGAGAGAGAGATGGCAAGTAACCGAGCAAAACAAATCATTGGACTGTCACGAGGACATTGAACGTACCTACAGAAAAGCTAAGAATGAAAAATAAATAAATAAATAAAAACAGAAATATGGAATGTGAGGAAAATGAAAATGTTGCAATTGAAGATGGACAGATTCAAATAGCATTAACGATGACGGTTCATATACTGTATTCGGGTGGTTTAAAATATGAGAGAGGTGTTGGCATTCTTGTATACACCAGAAGTCACGTAGGGGTGTAGTGTAAAGGGATATTGGGCAGTGTCAGATAGGGTTTTATTAGTCAGGTTTACTGTTACCCACGGTCAGGTTTAATGCTACACCCATGGTCAGGTTTAATGCCACACCCATGGTCAGGTTTAATGCTACACCCATGGTCAGGTTTAATGCTACACCCATGGTCAGGTTTAATGCTGCACCCATGGTCAGGTTTAATGCTACACCCATGGTCAGGTTTAATGCTACACCCATGGTCAGGTTTAATGCTACACCCATGGTCAGGTTTAATGCTACACTCATGGTCAGGTTTAATGCTGCACCCATGGTCAGGTTTTAATGCTGCACTCATGGTCAGGTTTAATGCTGCACTCATGGTCAGGTTTAATGCTACACTCATGGTCAGGTTTAATGCTGCACTCATGGTCAGGTTTAATGCTGCACTCATGGTCAGGTTTAATGCTACACTCATGGTCTACTTAATAAAACAGGTTTATACAGTATACACCAACAATTAATAGTGAGGATGTTTTAGATCCCAGTGTATGAGTGACCTTACCAGTGTATGAGTGTATGAGTGACCTTACCAGTGTATGAGTGACCTTACCAGTGTATGAGTGACCTTAGCAGTGTATGAGTGACCTTAGCAGTGTATGAGTGACCTTAGCAGTGTATGAGTGACCTTAGCAGTGTATGAGTGACCTTAGCAGTGTATGAGTGACCTTACCAGTGTATGAGTGACCTTACCAGTGTATGAGTGACCTTACCAGTGTATGAGTGACCTTACCAGTGTATGAGTGACCTTAGCAGTGTATGAGTGACCTTACCAGTGTATGAGTGACCTTAGCAGTGTATGAGTGACCTTACCAGTGTATGAGTGACCTTAGCAGTGTATGAGTGACCTTAGCAGTGTATGAGTGACCTTAGCAGTGTATGAGTGACCTTAGCAGTGTATGAGTGACCTTAGCAGTGTATGAGTGACCTTACCAGTGTATGAGTGACCTTAGCAGTGTATGAGTGACCTTAGCAGTGTATGAGTGACCTTAGCAGTGTATGAGTGACCTTAGCAGTGTATATGAGTGACCCGCCTCAGTGTATGAGTGACCTACTAGTATGAGTGACCTTAGCAGTGTATGAGTGACCTTACCAGTGTATGAGTGACCTTACCAGTGTATGAGTGACCTTAGCAGTGTATGAGTGACCTTACCAGTGTATGAGTGACCTTACCAGTGTATGATAGGGAAATAAACATATCAGCCCACAAAGGTCACTTATTGGTTTCAAGGTGTATCAGTCTGGTAAAATTGTGATGAAATATTATTTTTATTATTAATAAAAGCACTATTATTATCATTATTGTTAATAATTATTGCCATTATTTTTATAATTATTATTATTATTATCATTAATATTGTTTTATTATTTTGTTGACTTATATTTTATCATTTCACCACTTACCTTACTGATTTGTTCATTGTCACTTTGTTATAACCTTTACTGTACAGTGTTAGTGCTGGAGCAAACCCGAGTACCCGGAGGAAACCTGTCACGACACAGAGGCGAGAGATACACGTGTCACCGCGGTATTGTCTTCACTTTTATTTAGTAAAATAATTTTATCATTTATAACGATAGTAACACCTGTGTCAACCTGACACTATTACCTACACCTGTCACAGGTGTATCATGTGTCAACCTAACACTATTACCTACACCTGTCACAGGTGTATCATGTGTCAACCTGACACTATTACCTACACCTGTCACAGGTGTATCATGTGTCAACCTGACACTATTACCTACACCTGTCACAGGTGTATCATGTGTCAACCTGACACTATTACCTACACCTGTCACAGGTGTATCATGTGTCAACCTGACACTATTACCTACACCTGTCACAGGTGTATCATGTGTCAACCTGACACTATTACCTACACCTGTCACAGGTGTATCATGTGTCAACCTGACACTATTACCTACACCTGTCACAGGTGTATCATGTGTCAACCTGACACTATTACCTACACCTGTCGCAGGTGTATCATGTGTCAACCTGACACTATTACCTACACCTGTCACAGGTGTATCATGTGTCAACCTGACACTATTACCTACACCTGTCACAGGTGTATCATGTGTCAACCTGACACTATTACCTACACCTGTCACAGGTGTATCATGTGTCAACCTGACACTATTACCTACACCTGTCACAGGTGTATCATGTGTCAACCTGACACTATTACCTACACCTGTCACAGGTGTATCATGTGTCAACCTGACACTATTACCTACACCTGTCACAGGTGTATCATGTGTCAACCTGACACTATTACAAACACTAATAACTTATTCCTTCATAAAATAAATATTTCTAATACGGTACAAGACATAAGTAATACCTGTGTCACCTAACATGAACATTATCTTAACAAACACTTGTTAATACTGAACACTTTACTCTTACACTGAGATCTTTTATTGTCAACATTTTAACATTTAAACAATAAACTTAATGTTATGAAGAAACACACTCGCTAGGTGTTACATCAGTCAATAAAACTCTGAGTAAGTATCACTAGTTGTTGGTAACTGTTTGTATTGCCTTTGTAATGTGTCTATGTGTTCCTGAATGCGTTCTTTCTCTTGGTTGAGTTTCGTTACCTCATCCGTAACTCTCTGGATCTCTTCCTGCAGCTGCTGCTTACAACACTTATCTTGCTGCCTGCTGTGGTGTGCCCGCACAGCTTTCAGTCTTCTGGCCTCCAACTGTGGGTCTTGTTGTGGCGGTAACTGGTAAGAATACACTCGGTTCTTCTGTCGTCTGGATGAGGAGGTCTTCCTGGCCTCTGCAGTGTGGGCTGCGTCGCCCCCTTCTGACGACTGCGGCAGGTAAGTGGAAGGGCCAGGAGTAGGGAAGGCGTGTGGGCCTCCCGAGGGAGGGACTGTCTGCCCCAGTGTCATCACTGACTGGTTAGGGAAGAGAGTAGATTCAGAGTCCTGGAGTGAAGGATCCTGAACCGAATTCCAGGAATAACTGGTGTCTGAGAAGCTTGGGTGAGGGGCGGAGGTTTCAAAACTTGTCGTTTCCCAAGAGAAATTTGGAAAACTGGAGGATGAAGATGAGTCGCTGGGCAACCCCCACCAGTTTCCTTCTGCAGTAGTATCAGGAAGACCGTGACACTGGCCACTGTGACCGTCTGGGACGACCAGGGAAGCTGTAGACAAACTTTCATCTTGGAGAGACAAATCTGACAACATTTCAAACATAGAGGAAGACGAGGACCCGTATGGACTCTGCTCCTGTGAGTTAGTCCAGCTGGCAGCTGGGGCGTCCGTCACCAGGTGAGATTCTCCTTGACAATAAAGTAAGTCTTCTAACCTGTTGATCTTGTGTGAAAACTTGGCCTTCTCAGCTCTGAGCTTCTCAACTTGTGCCGTATTATTGATGATGGCTTGTCGCAGATCTTCCTCATATTTCTTAGCCCTCTTCCTCGCCTCTTGTGACCTGCGGACCTTTACCCTTCTCTGGTCTTCTGAAACACAGTATTGTTCTGCCGAAGTGTTTTTCCGAGATCCACCAGACATTATGTAGAGACCTCTGTACAAGTACCAGGGTGGTGACGGTGGTAGTCGTGTAAGTGACTAGTTGTGGTGGTAGTCGTGTCAGTGACTAGTTGTGGTGTTAGTCGTGTCAGTGATTGAACCAGTAGTGGCAGTACCAGGGTGGTGACGGTGGTAGTCGTGTAAGTGACTAGTTGTGGTGGTAGCACCAGGGTGGTAATTGTGGTTCCTGGTGGTGGTAGCGTCTAACTGAAGTTCCTCCGTCTCACTTGCCGTGGACACTCCGGTGAGACTGTTGCTGCGCTTTTATATCCACCGCGTTTAACTCCCCAAAACGTATGTGTCGACGCTCATTATTCACCAGACCGCTACTAACTCTTCCCTCACTTTGTTTACCTAACTGGTTGATGGTACTTCCGAGGTGTACTGGGTGCCGTAAGTAATAATTAATATGTGTATTATATTCATGATTCCATTCGTTTCATCAAAATTCCCACTCCAAGTGTGTGTGTGTGTGTGTGTGTGTGTGTGAAGTGTACGTAATTAAGGGACAGTTCAGGATTCAAAGTCAATATGACACTGTTTTTATTCCACCACACACACACACGCACACACACACACACACACACACACACACGCACACGACAGAAAATTTTTATCGCCTTTAAAATCATACATACACACATATTTGAGAGTTTAAGTGTTTGCGTGTCAGAGATGTGTAGATGTCATTAATAATAACAATAATAATCATTCGTATTTTTATTATTATTATTATTATTATTATTATTATTATTATTATTATTATTATTGTTATTATTATTATTATTATTGTTATTATTATTATTATTATTGTTGTTATTATTATCACACCCAAAATCTACAGACGTAAACATCAACGCCTATAGTAACTGATTTGTGAGAATGATAAGGAAAAAAATGATTATAATGCTATATTTATATTATATATCACACTTCGCTTAATAACCAGCCAAAATTTGCCTGCCAACCAGATTCAAAACGAGCCCAACTTGTAACAAAAACTGCCAACTTGGCAACTCTGCCAGTACAGCCACATTAGAGTCTAGACTCGAGACTATACGTTTTCTCTCAAGTGGACTGTGTTATGACGTCAAGATACTGCTAAACGTACAAGGGAAACCCGCCTGTTATGTAAGGAACAGATAATTCAATGGAATACGTTTGGAGAAGACTGTGTCCTCCAGTTTTTAGAATCATGCTGAGTGAACGTATCCACTTGTACAGTATTTACTTTATTTAATTTTGACGATATTTATTAGGTTATTTTTATAAAAGTAATTCCTGTGTATTTTAGTTTAAGTCACCCATTTAGGTACATTCTTACACTTTCAATTCCGAAGAAAAATATCATCGTACGAACCTTTCTCAATGTGTACGTGTAAATGCCCCACACATCAGCTGCTTGTGTTGGTTCACCTTGGGAGGTAAGACCAAGGGTTTAGTTCACTGACTTCACCACCTGTCTCGGGCCCGTATTCAAAGCCGACATGCCCGACGGTTCGTCGGCTACCAACACATGGAAATCTGATGGATGGTCCACTGTTGCCACAACCCAGGCGTCGAGTACCCCAATAATACCCCACACACACACAATTGTATCCAACACAAAAAAATATCACGTCATATGACTACCAGCAATAAAAATTAAATACAGCTCCCTTGTGTTTTATACTGCACAGTATTGTACACTTTTACAATCAATACCAGCTGGGTTTTGACGCACACTGTATTATATACCAGGGTTATTTATTTATATATTTGAAAGATAATTTACACAACTTTGAAGATATTTATGTAAAAACGATTAATATTGTTGATCAGAATAACAAGTGATGGATCACATAAGGAAAGCTTACTGTGTAACACAGAACAGTAAAAATACATTGTTAATATATTTAAAGTTCACGAAATAATAGTGACGAAATTATCAGCTGATAATATTATATACTGTCTATCAGTGTACTATTTTTTCTCACGGCAGCTTTGGCCTCCTTGTATAGTATTGGTGGCCGCACAAGCGTCAATCTGAGGCCCATAAGCCCCATAATCTGCCACTGGTTCCCACCTTATTTTTTTTATTATTACAGTTTTACCTATCATTGCCTGGCTTGATAGCTTAGTCTTATACCATGGTAATCTGCAGTCCAGGCAGGGAGGAGGATAGCAATTGAAAGTTATTAAATACAGGTACTGTACTAGATGATATAAACAGACACGTCAGTGCTGTGCAAACTTTATGCCATTTGTTTTGGTGGTCACAGGTCGTGCTTCTTGCCCCAGTTCACTAAGTGATGACGTCAATGTTAAGATCTGTGAAACTCTCCTTTACCCATTTAAGTGAGCATTTGTCGGGCGGGGAAGACGCTTGATCACCACGTGTTTTCCCTGTGCACATTAGACAGGACGGGGTCAGTGTTGCAATAATTTTCGCTGAAAATTTAACATTGTTTCTAGATGACTCAGCGTACGGGACAAGTTCAGCTCAGAGATAGTTCTTGTTCAGTTTTATCTCGCAGCCTGTGTGTGTCACAGCTAACACATTTGATGAGTCTTGTCACCATTTGCTACACTCAATGGCATTTCAGATAGTATATATATAGTTTACAGGTGAATTAGGCTGAGGTATTATATGACCAAAAATGTTTAGTACAACAACCACGCCTGTGGTAGTGGTGACGCGTCTGCTTTTCACTAATATTGCGCGCGCGCGTGTGTGTGTGTAATAATAATAATAATAATAATAATAATAATAATAATAATAATAATAATAATAATAATAATAAACGGTTTTATTAAAAGAGCATGGCAGCAAGAGGGCTGAAAATATACAGTTACATAATTGGGGAATGGGTCTCTTGATTTACAAATAATATACAAGTAACATAAGTGATACAAATATGATATATAATAACTAGGTGGGGAGAAGCTCAAACTACAGGGCATTTCAACATAGTGATAGTGCAAAAAGTAAGATTGACTGGGAGTGAATACACTGGTTGATTACAAGTTATTGATAATTTTTACAATGGTTGGGACTGGGCTGTTCTTATAGCGATCAGTTCGTGCTCGTATGGGCTGGATGCGGTTGTGGTATCTTGCAGCAATTCTCAGACGAGGGATCTCGGGTGGTAGTAGGAGCCGGTGTCGAGGATGGTGTAGAAGCTTCTCGCCAAATTTGCAAATGAGGTCGTGGTGATGGTCAGTGAGAGCCGAGAGGGTCGGTATATTGAGCGCTTCTTGATATGTGGAGTAGGAAGGGGAGAGAATAATCTTGCATGCCGTCTTTTGCACCTTTTCTAGGCGTTTACGTTGTGTGGCATTTAGGGAGGAGGGCCAGGTAGGGTAGGCATAGGTGTGTGTGTGTGTGTCAGTAACTCTTGGTGGTGGAGTCACAAAACTTCTGTTTGTTAACATTGTTAAGACAGCGCACATAGTTAAGGCAGACTGAGTCTTAAAGTAATTTTGCTGCCATATTGAACATTAGTTTTGTAGTGAGATGTACTTACTCGTCACTGACCACGTAAATGTGTTTTTAAATTTTTTCAAATGTGAAGTCAATAGATAACTGAGCATTAAGGGTCTATTAACATCATACTTTCACATATTTCATCTTTTTGGTAAGTACACTGAGCACTTAGCGGTTATAGGCTGCTATGGAACACTCCCCGTGAACTAAGGGATCACCTTAACCCTTTCACCGCATGTAACGCACTTGCTATTTATTCAGCTGTGAAAGGGTTAAGGTTAGTCACCCACCTTATATCACCTGAAGATTAACCACCCTAACGATACCTGATGGGATTAGGTTAGCGTTAGGGTTGCTAATATTCAGATGAAATAAGCCGAGAGGGTTAAACCTTCAAGGGAGCCAGCACACTATCGCGCCGCCTCCCGCTACCACACTAGGGCTAATGATACAAGTCTGGTGATTTTTTACTTTTTATTATTCTACAGTAAAATATCATATAGAAATATCACATTACGATCATTTTTTTTTTTTGGTAATTTAGACAACAATAAGAAAGTAGAGTAGTGTTGGAGTCTAATGTGACGCCAGCCATCACTGTCAGGTCGCCTTGGTCCCCTCTCTTGCTATGTGCCACGCAGTTTGTTGTTATTTGTGATTTATTCCAAGTATTTATCAACTGGTATTCATCTCACTCACGTTCTTTCTTATACCGCTTTCACCTGTCGTATCCGTGCGTGTGGTGAGGGAGGGTGTTGCGTGTGGTGAGGGAGGGTGTTGCGTGAGGTGGAGGGTGGGTGTTGCGTGAGTCGGGGGTTGAGACAGAGGTACAAGTGTTGCGTTATTGTATCACAGCAACATTCCGGTTAACTAGTTATGGGAGGGAGCACCTGCGACTCACCTGTGATGTTATCCATGACGGTGATAAACAAGTGTAGGGAGAGATAGATCTTTATTCACCTAAATTATTACACAGTAGACAGAGAATGAGACAATGCAATTTTAGCTCACAAAGCATTGAGTGAAAGGGAGAGCGAGAGAGATATTTAAAAGAGACAATATTCTGAGAGATAAAGTTGTATGAGAGATAATTGTATTATATGTGGGTCCGGCTGTGTTGACCTCAGATAGTCAACACAGCGTTTATCCACACACCTAACACACTGCGATAGTGTGTTCAATTTTGCCAACATATGTGTTTAGATAAATAGATATATAGTTTACAGTTATATAAAGACCCTATTGAGCTAATATCATGTAGTGTGGACGGATGTTTTCACAGTTTTTATGGCTCAATTATATAGAAGGCTTTATTATTATTATTATTACTCCTCACTATATATATATATATATATATATAGTGAGGAGTAAATTTCTTAGAAATTCAAGTGGAGGGTTGGGGTGTTGGGGGGGGCTGTGGGAGGGTTGGGGTGTTGGGGGGGCTGGAGGGTTGGGGGGTGAGGCTGTGTGGAGGTTGTGGGGTGTTGGGGGGGCTGTGTGTGGAGGGTTGTGGGTGTTGGGGGGCTGTGTGGAGGGTTGTGGGGTGTTGGGGGCTGCTGTGGAGGCTGTGGGTGTTGGGGGGCTGTGCGGGGAGGTTGTGGGTGTTGGGGGGCTGTGTGGAGGGTTGTGGGTGTTGGGGGGCTGTGGAGGGTTGGGGTGTTGGGGGGCTGTGTGGAGGGTTGTGGATAGAGGAGGGTAGAGGCTGGGGAGTTGGTGGTTGGTAACTTTAGTGGATAACAGTCAGCAGTGTACTGTTTTTCAAACTGCCACCAAGCTGGTGTGGTGTGTGTGTGTGTGTGTGTGTGTGTGTGTGTGTGTGTGTGTGTGTGTGTGTGTGTGTGTGTGTGTGTGTCCTGCATCTCTTCTGGATGACGTCCGGATGTGCAGGATCACACCGCTGCCACCAAACATATTAGTTGACCAGAAGGTGGTGTCTACGGGGCACTTCTTGCTGGTTTGGAGGTTGAGAAACCTCTTGGTTGTGTGGAGGAGGAGGTTTCACAAAGGTCTCTGCTTCAGGGTTGATCTCGGGTACGATCCCGGTGCGGCCCTCAGGAGCGAACTTGGGAGGAGGTGGAAGAGTGCCAGCGATAGGGGGGTTGTGTTGGAGGATAGCAATGGGTTTGGGTGGAGTCATGACGTCCTTGGGGATGGGGCTAATGTGAATGTCCTTGGAAACGTGGAAGGGGAAGCGGCGCTCAATTTGGGGCTGTGGGGCGTGCTGTTTCTGTGGAGGAAAGTTGGAGTGTGCAGGACCGATGACAGTGTGTACCCTGGGGGGGCCAAACTCCAGGGTGCGGCGCCGTGACTCCTGGTTCCTGGGGGTGGGCGGGGCGTGCATCTCCATGTGGGTGATGGGGCGGTTACCTCCAATCATTGACACTGTAAACATAACCACCATTAACAAAAGAGATGTAACACCGCTACTCCATTTTATCTTTACATTAACAACAAAAATATCAACAACAGATTTAATAAAATTACAAAAATAATAACCTTAGTAACTGTGGTTATGGCGATAAATGGCAATAATAATAATAATAATAATAATAAGAAGAAGAATATAACAGTAAGATTGAAATGGTGGTAGTTGTAGTACTGACAGTAATTGTAGTAGCAGCAATGGTAATGTCTGTAAACCGTACATGCTTAATCAATGTAAACTTCTTACATCCGACCCAACCGTACTTCTACAACCCTTCCCCTCGTACGCGGAATTGAAATACTACTAATAAAATCATTGAGAGAAGGGGAGGGGGCTTGGAGACCTCGCTACTGGCAGTGTGAACCTGACCGCCTACGAAGGAGTCTGTCTACTTATGGTGGACCACTTATCTAGTGTACAACTGTACTTGACCCTAATATCATAAGGCTATATGAGGGTGAGGGAGGGGAGTATACAGTGAGAGGTGAGGGAGGGGAGTATACAGTGAGAGGTGAGGGTGTGAGAGTTACCTGGCGGTGCAGGTGCCAGCATTCGTTCGGGCAGCAAGCGGAAGGGCGGGAGGTTCACGGGGTTGGGCAGAGCACGAGCCTGGGCCTCAGGCATCACACGGACGATATTCTTCTGTTGGTTATTTCCCTGGGGCAGAGGGAGGGCACCACGGTGAAGGGAACCCGGCGAGATGGGGCCGTCCATACGCTCTGGGGAGCCCAGGAGGCGGGGCCCACCAGGGGACATGGACATGCGTGGGGACATGCGCACGAATGGGCGGAAGGGGAAGGGCAGCATGCGGTGACGAGGGCCATCATCCATCTTGGGCTCGGAGAGCATTGGGGCGTTGAAGGGGGTCAGTATGATGCGGGGTTTGGGGCCAGGGAAGGGCATGGGGCCGTTGGAGAGGTGTATATGGTGCTGGGGCTCAGCTTTCAGTACACGATGTGCGGGGGGTGGCAGGTTGTGGGGAATGGGGATACGGCCAGACAGCGGGGCACCCTTGGGGGGCATCTGGTTATTGGGGCTCACCATTACACACGGGAAGGGGCTGTTGACGGGGCAGGGGAGTGGGGCGGGAGAGAAGGGCATGGGTTGGGGGCCGTTGATGGGAAGGAGGGATCTGGCGGCAGCCCGGGAGGCGGCCTTAGCGGACAACATCTTCATGATGGGGGCGAGGATGGAGAGGGGAGGTCCCAGGCGGCGGGGTCCTGGTGGGAGCATGAAGGGTCCTGACACTGGCCCCTGCTGCTGCTGCTGCTCTTCGTTGTCGTCATTGTTGTCCTCGCAGGTGACGATGATGGCCTGGGTCATGATGCCGTCGCCTAGAGGCTGCTGACGACGTTCAACCTCACAGTTAACATCGCGACCAGCCTGTGTGTGTGAGGTAATGTTAGCACTAGTGACACACACACACACACACACCTCATTAACTTCCATCTCGTCACTAGAAAATTTTTTATGTTGTCCCCAAATGCCCGTAACTCTCTTAACTAGCCCTGACCCCATCCTTAACTAGCCCTGACCCCATCCATAACTAGCTCTGACCCCATCCTTAACTAGCCCTGACCCCATCCTTAACTAGCCCTGACCCCATCCTTAACTAGCCCTGACCCCATCCATAACTAACTCTGACCCCGTCCGTAACTAACCCTATCTCACACGGCAACCTCTCTGCACCTTTAACCACCACAATTCTTTAACTAGACCGCTAACACACCCCCCTCCAACCCTTTAGTGGTAAATGAGCAACCTCCTCTCCCCCTTAGTGGTAAATACACCTCTCCCCTTAAGTGGTAAATGAGTGACCTCCTCTCCCCTCCCCCTTAAGTGGTAAATGAGTGACCTCCTCTCCCCTCCCCTTTAGTGGTAAATGAGTGACCTCCTCTCCCCTCCCCCTTTAGTGGTAAATGAGTGACCTCCCCCACCTGCAGACACTCACCAGGGAGGGGTTGCCAAGAATAAGATCAATAGGGAGTTTGATCTTCTTCATGTGGTCCATCTGTGCCCGCATGATGTCCTGTAGCGCCTCCTGTTCGTCCTCCTCCCTTATAGCTTCCTCCAGTACCTTCTCTGTCTCCTCCACCTCCATCACCTTCTCCAGTATTTCCTCCACCTCCTGTAGGGAAAGAAAGACAATGTAATGATCTCAAGGGAACTTTTATTATTGAACTAGATTAAGCTTCCTCAGATTTACTCCTTACTCCTTGTATCTACCACCAAGACCCCTCTATCTCTCCCACCTAGGGCCCCTCCCTCCCCTCCATCGTGGCCTCCACCACCTTGACTTCCCTCAAGAATTACCTGTATTGACCTCCTATATGAGCTGGTGACCTGTACTGACCTCTTCACGGGTGGGGATGGGCAGATCGACAACAGGGGGCTGGGCCTTGTCGTCTTCAGCGTCTAAGTTGTTGTTTCCCATATCAGGCATCAACTTCTGCTGCTCCCCCTTCTGCTCCTCCAGTTGGTTATCTTCCACCTTGTTGCCCACGAGCGCCTCCGACCGTGGGATCTCCAAGAAGCTGGCAGCATGAAGGTTCTTGTGGCCGTGTTCCTCCTGTAGGGGAGATGAGAATGTGATCTCCTGGCTACTGAGTTATATATATCAGTGCGTGTGAATAGTTTACCCTTTTGCGAACGATACTTTATTATCATGGGTACGTCTATTGATCCTTATACGTACGAAAATAATAATAGTATCGTTTATTCTTATTTAAATGTTATTATGCATTATATATCACCACCATAGGTATACAATAATTCATCATATTTACAAGAGTATTAGCTGAGGATATGATGATTTATAGTTATGAATACACTAATTTATGCTTACAGATAAACTATTTTCCTACTCAAGTAATATGAACCTAATGAAGCGATATTTTACCGAATGAAGTTAATAAACACCAAAATTGACTCAGATCCGCCATGTTTGTGCGTCCTTAGCAACCGTGATTGTTTACATCAGCTGATTGGTTGCTAAGGTATATTTCTCAATCTTCAGAATTATAATATATTCTGAGGGTGGAAATTTTGTAGTGGGTGTATGGGTGTTATGTGGTGGGTGTATGGGTGTATATACTGTACTTCTCGTGGGTGTAACTTACATGGTGACATACACAGGCCCGGGAGGCGAGGTAATTGGAGGTGAGAATGAAGAAGCCGATGATGACAGCTGAGGCCACCAAGGTAACGCACACCATCTTCACTATCTGGACCCGAGTGCTCTTGTCCCGCCGGTATGCCTGAGAAGAGGGGAGAAGGAATGGTTATTATTATTATTATTATTATTATTATTATTATTATTATTATTATTATTATTATTATTATTGTTGCTGTTGTTATTGTTATTATTATTATTATTATTATTATTATTATTATTATTATTGTTACTGGTTGTGTTATTGTTGTTATTATTATTATTAGTTACTATATTATTAATAGATAGATAGGTCGCCTTACAAATTCACAATGATTTAGCATATACACGTTGAAAGGACATATACATATACAAACAAAGGTAAACACTGCATCCTCCATGACACTGCAGGAACAAGCTCTGAGGTCCTACTGTCATGTGAAGGTCGTGACAGACAGACATATATACTTGTCTATGGAAATTACTAAGTATTTTGTGATTCATCATTGTGTGGGGAAAGTTTTGACTAGTGTGTGTGTGTGTGTGTGTGTGTGTGTGTGTGTGTGTGTGTGTGTGTGTGTGTGTGTGGTGAACAGTGATTTATTATGGTCACGGTAAACCCGCTCTTGTGCTTAGGTAACTGTTGATCACCTGAAGATTAAACACCCCAGATTCGTTTATCCCAGATTACGTTTGGTTAGGTTAGCATCAGGGTGGTTAATCACCATTTATCATCACCACTACCATCATCACAACCACTATCACCACCATTATTAACACCACCACTAACACCACCACCACTATCACCACCATCATTAACACCACCACTAACACCACCACCACCATCACCACACCACCACCACCACTCATCACCACCATCATTAACACCACCACTAACACCACTACCACTATCACCACCACCACTCTCTCCACCACCACTAACACCACCACCACTATCATCACCACCACCATCACCACCACCATCACCACCACTCTCTCCACCATGAATGAGACAACAAGACAGCCAGACAAGATTGCTTTCCCAAGGCCACCATCAACCCACTTCACTAACTGTTAACTTTTATTCACCAACCTACAATATGGACCACACCCCTCCCCCCTCCAACACCCCCCACACCTTCCCTCTACACACCCCAACACCCCCACACACCTTCCCTCTACACACTAACTTTACCTTCCCTCTACACACTAACACCCCCACACACCTTCCCCTCTACACACCCCCAACACTCCCCACACCTTCCCTCTACACCCCCCACACACCTTCCCTCTACCCCACACCCCAACACCCCCACACCTTCCCCTCTACACACCCAACACCCCACACACCTTCCCCTCTACACACCCCAACACCCCACACCTTCCCCTCTACCCCCACACCTTCCCTCTACACCCCCAACACCCCCACCTTCCCTCTACACACACCCCAACACCCCCCTCACCTTCCCTCTACCCCACACCCCCAACACCCCCACACCTTCCCCTCTACACCCCCACACCTTCCCTCTACACCCCCCACACCTTCCCCTCTACACCCCCACACCTTCCCCTCTACACCCCCCCCACACCTTCCCCTTTACACATACATATAATTATCTTGATTTTCTCCTCAATATTTCTCAGAGTTTCACAAGGGGAAATATAACCTTGAATATACGCTTAAAGACCTTTTTTGTTTATTGTAGTGTAATAATTCGTTGTTGTAGTTCAATAATACGTTGTTGTAGTGTAGTAATACGTTATAACCTTAGTATTTCCCTCGGCTCTACAGCAGTGTGTGTGTGGTACTGTAGTTTGGAGTAACAGTTATGTGTCAGTGCTGTTTTGACTTCACCTTGGCCCTGCGTGTGTGTGTGTGTGTGTGTGTGTGTGTGTGTGTGTGTGTGTGTGTGCGTGCGTGTGTGCGTGCGTGCGTGCGTGCGTGTGTGTGTGTGTGTGTGTGTGTGTGTGTGTGTGTGTGTGTGTGTGTGTGTGTGTGTGTGTGTCCCGGTACAACACAATTTACTGCCATCAATATTCCTCTTACGTCGGTACGGTTTATAATTATACTATACACGTAACTGGCTGGAATTAAACTAAAATTGCAACTAAAATGGCGTCAAATGATAATGGTATTTTTACCTTAACTATGTACGATCATTTTACAACCAGATAAGATTCAGAGATGACTATTGTCTTTGTGTTTCTCTCTCTCTCTCTCTCTCTCTCTCTCTCTCTCCTCTCTCCTCCCCCCATTTATCTCTCTCTCACCCCTTCCCTTATCTCTCTCTCCTCCAGTTCCTTTCCTTCCGTCTCCTACACACCTTCCACATCTCTTACCCCTTCCTGTCCTTCCTATCTCCCTCCCCCTCTCCCCTCCCCCCCTCCCTTCCCTCCCCCCCTCCCCCACCTGGCACGCCCGCTTACAGGTGGATAGTTAAAGTGGTGACAGATTATACCCAATCATTAACTATACTGGGAGGAGGAGTGAGGAGTGAGGCCTCTGAGGGTGAGAGGGACTCCTGAAGGGTTTGGGGCTGTAAGGTGGTGGGGTATTACAAGGCCTGGGGGAGGTGGGGCGCTGCGGACGTGTGGGATCAAGGCCGGGGGCAGGGAAAACTCGCCACTAACGGTCGTAGAGGCTCAAGGCCCAGCTCTCTCTCTCTCTCTCTCTCTCTCTCTCTCTCTCTCTCTCTCTCTCTCTCTCTCTCTCTCTCTCTCTCTCTCTCTCTCTCTCTCTCTCTCAAAAAGTTCCAAAGTTGTTGTTGTTGTTTTTTTCGGATCACCTGAAGACTCTCTCCACTCGAGTTTATTTCACCTGATAATTAACCCTGGGTGGTGACTCTTGAGGTGAGCCAATTTTTTTTTTATCTGATGATGGATAGAAGTCGTAGTTTGCGTTTGTTTGTCGTAGTTTGCCTCACTATACCTGACACACCCACGCAAAAAAAAATACGTCAATTGCAGCACAAGAAAGGCATCAGCCGTAACGAGGTGTGATGACATGAGTGAAGGGAGAGAGAAACGTGTGAATTTTGTGACGTGACGACAGGTGTGATGAAGGAAGGAGCTACAGTTCATTGTGTATCATCCTGTTGTATCTCCGGGTCTCTGTGATGTGTATACTAAGGTCTCTGTGATGTGTATACTAAGGTCTCTGTGATGTGTATACTAAGGTCTCTGTGATGTGTATACTAAGGTCTCTGTGATGTTTATACTAAGGTCGCTGTGATGTGTATATACTGTATTAAGTGATGTGTATACTGTACTAAGGGATGTGTAATACTGTATTAAGTAATGTGTATACTAAGGTCTCTGTGATGTGTATACTAAGGTCTCTGTGATGTGTATACTAAGGTCTCTGTGATGTGTATACTAAGGTCTCTGTGATGTGTATACTAAGGTCTCTGTGATGTGTATACTAAGGTCTCTAATGTATTCAGAAATAACCTTTAAATGACACTGACACTACGAAAACTAGATACGTGCACTTAAATTGGATCACCTTAAGATTAACCACCCTATCGCTATCCTAACAATCAAATGTAATCTAACTTAACCTAATCCATTCTACTCTAACCTAACCTAACCAAATCTATTATAATCCACCCTAAATTAACCCCCAGATAGAATTAAGGTAAAATAAGCTGGGGGGGGGGGTTATTCTACAGGTAATCCTACAGACCTAAAATACCCAAGGCAAGAATCTTAGTAGGAAAATGATACTATTCTTAGACATGATGTGTATAAGTGTTTGTAATCTTTTTTTAATTTATCATGTGAGAAAGTTCAGGGTGACGGAAAGTACAGGATGTTGGGAATAGGTCACAAGACACTAGGATAACAGAACGTTCACTGTGAAGGGTTACGAGGAGGTGCCTGGTGACGTGATGCCTTGGTTGTGTTCATTCATTCCTGCAGTCATTCATTGTTATGTGGATCCGGGATGAGTGTGTGTGTGTGTGTGTGTGTGTGTGTGTGTGTGTGTGTGTGTGTGTGTGTGTGTGATCTACCTGCCACTGTAATCTACCCATATTGTAATCTACTCCTTGCTGTAATCTACCCCTATTGTAATCTACTCCTTGCTGTAATCTACCCCTATTGTAATCTACTCCTTGCTGTAATCTACCCCTTGCTGTAATCTACCCCTATTAAGAACATAAGAACATAAGAATGGAGGAAACTGCAGCGGGCCTATTGGCCCATGCTGGGCAGTCCCGTTTACACCCAACCCCTATTGCTCATATGAGCATCCAACCTATGTTTGAAACAATTCAGCGTATTCGAGTTAATGATGATATTTGGTAACTTGTTCCATTCATCCACTACTCTGTTTCCAAACCAGTGTTTACCTATTTCACGCCTAAATCTAAATTTGTCTAATTTAAAACCATTGTTACGAGTTCGCTCCTGGTTGGATAGTTTGAGTACCTTTGTAATGTCCCCTTTGTTTAGCCCTGCCTTCCACTTATACACCTCTATCAGGTCGCCCCTCGCTCTACGTCTCTCAAGGGAGTGCAAATTAAGATGCTTTAACCTGTCTCTATACTCAAGGTACTCCTTGCTGTAATCTACCCTTTGCTGTAATCTACCCATATTGTAATCTACCCCTACTGTAATCTACCCCAACTGTAATCTACCCCTACTGTAATCTACCCCCATCTTTTATCTACCCCTGCTGTAATTTGCTATATATGATCGTAGGGGTTAAAAACGTAGACACTTTCAGCAGACACCAGAAAGAGGTTGAAGGCCTTGTGATGTTAAAGGCTAATGTTAGGAATAAATAAACACTGACAAAAAACAAACGAAGTACTAAGATTGGCAAAAACTTGAAATATAGAGTAAGGAAAATGAGATAATTTGAACATATAATTAGGGATGGTGAGATAATAGCAGAAATGTGAATGGACAAAGTTGAAGGTAGGAAGATCAGGGGGAGGCAGAGACTGGGATGAATGGATGTATGTAATATAAAACTCGATGTACTGTATGTAATGTTTAAATCAATGTTGTTAGGAGATAATGAAGATGATTGTGCAAGAATTTTGAGGGAAAACTAACTAAAGAAAACGTGTATGAAGAGGTAAACATCTTTACTTCACT